CGCCTCGGTCGAAAAACTCCAGTTGTTCGTCGAGCTTCTTTCTTCATTTTCACCTTCATACGGCTCATCTACTTCTCTTGGTTGATGAATTCATGACTGCGAATGTATGCTTCGGTATGTATGTATCCTGAGCAAAGTGGCTTACTGCCGAGATTTGACCCGAGCAAGGGTAGGTCATAAGACATGTTTCCCTTTCTCTTTGTTTGGATAGTGAGGCATGGGTAGGTAGGCAATATGGAGTTGGAGTAATGAGACAGAGGTAGGTAGGTATTTGGGCCGCCAGCGGACTAAATATTATATGGCAGGGGAACGGGAGTGTCAGTGTCTATAATAAGTCGCTCTCTCCCGTCGTCTGCGAGTGATTACCTTTAGTCGTGCTTGGAGCTTCATGAGTGTCTCCAGGCCGGAGTAGGGAACTGAAACAGAATTATAGTTCTTATAAGGCATGTGAGACATTTGGTTCATCAGCAGAATACAAATTTGCAAAAGTATATCGAAAATATTGTTTGGGGTGACAAAAAAAAATTATGGTGAAAGTTTGAGTCCATAATATTAATATTAAGAAGTCTATCATCGCAATTTTAATTTTTTTTCTCAGCAAGTTTTTGTCTCAGAACTCCCAAACCATTGAGTTTAACAAAATTGACTTAAGAATATTTTTTGAAGAAAATTGAATGCTCTACAAAAAAGGTTTGATTGGAATTTTCCGTCAGATGAACCGTTTTCTTACAATCATGCCTTAAAAATTGGTATAGTTTTACAATTTGATCTTTTAACTTTGGAATTTTGTAATTCAAGTAAAAATCAGTACCCTGAAAAAAAAAACGATAAAAATTCTTATGGGAAATCAAATGCTCTACAAAAAAAGTCTTTTTATCATTTTTTGCTAAATTCACCCCATCAAAAGTTATTCAAGGTTAAATTTGAAGTCAAAACGAAATTTTAACCATGAATAACTTTTAATGGGGTGAATTTTGTTGAGCATTTGATTTCCCATAAGAATATTTATCGGTTTTTTATGGGTACTGATTTTTACATGAATTACAAAATTCCAATTTAAAAGATCAAAATGTAACACTATACCAATTTTTAAGGCATGATTTTAAGGTAACGGTTCATTTGACGCAAAATTTCACTTTAACCTTTTTTGTAGAGCATTTAATTTCTTAAAAAAATATTTTCAAGTCAATTTTGTTAAACTCAATGGTTTGGGAGTTCTGAGCCTAAAACTTTCTGAGGAAAAAAAAAATTAAAATTGCGATGATAGACCTCTTAATAATAATATTATGGACTCAAACTTTCACAATAATTTTTTGTTGTCACCCCAAACCATATTTTCGATAACTTTTCAAAAAAAAAAATAGTTGAATTTTTTGGCCCATGTGTATGTTATATGGGTGTATAGTTAGGATATTTATGTTATAATTTATAGAATTTGTATTCATTTATTACTATGTTTGTTTGGGACTTAGCCCTTTTCTTGTTTTGTGTGTATCTTAAGCAGATTTTAAATGTTTAGAGTGTACAAAAAAAATAAAAAATTAACAAAAATTTGAAAGAAAAATAATTAATCTTGAGTCAGGTAGACTCACATTTTACATAAAAGATACCCTTCTTCCCTTTCGACAACAAAAATTCCCGAAAAAGGGAAAATTCCCTGCAGTTGGCAACGCTGATAACAATAACCGAAAAAATTATTTCTAATTAGACAATTTGTGTAGGGCCGCTAGGCAACCCAGTATACAGGAGAAACGAACCTTTCAAGGTAGGCTTGATTAACTATATCTCCGGGGGTAGGAATGACCAAAAATAATGTTATATAAGTATAGGAAAAAACAAGAAAACCCTACTGACCTACCCAAGAAGAAATTATCCCTTATACAAATAAGATATATTGTCTTAAAAACACTAATGAAATTAAGGAGTTAAAAAAAAAAGAAAGAGATAACACTCCTGTCAAAATGACAGGTTGTACACTTTTAGCAATATATAGCGTATAGTAAAATGAACGTATCGTAAACTGAAAATGTGGTAAAATGGAACCCTACAAAAAAAATACAATCTGCCAAAGAATAGTAACAAGTTTGGAATACAGCATATTCCGCTCGAGGAAAAATTTGACACACGAGCCGAAGGCGAGTGTGACGGTTTTACGAGAGTGGAATATGCTATTCCAAACGTGTTTCAGACATTATTTTCTCTACGACTACGTAAGAATAGTAACGCTTATATAATTTTAAACAGAGAAAAGAAACCAAGCAGTTTTTGACATTTAAGTTTTTTGTATTGTCAAACCATTTTGTGCCGTCACAATTTTATAATGTAAATTATAATAAATTTAAACAAATGGTTATTTACACTAACTAATAAAAAAAATAACATTGTAACAAATACAAGACTAATTTTACAAGTAATCTGTCAACATCTATTCTTTTTCTACATTTTAAAGGTCTTTTTTAAAACTTTTTGAATCTGTCAAAACTTCAAAGCCGGTATAGTAGGTAACTGGTTTATCATTTTAAAATCAAATTTATTATAATTTTGATTTGTATATTTGAAAAACAATAAATATAACTATTTTTTTGTGCCTAAACCTTAATTATACAACTGCTACTATTTTTTAATTAATAAATAATACAGTAATATTTAAATATTTTTAAATTTTTTACGTTTAGTAGTACAGCCAGGAGATGTCGTTACTTGTGACCATTCTTAAACAAGAGTAGGAATATTCTCGCACAGTATTGCAGAAAAACATCCTTTCTATGATCAAAAATTACACTAGAATGTTACTATTCTTAAGTAGTCGTAGAGAAAATTTATGCCTACTTGAGGTATTTTTAAACCAATGGAAACGAAATGAATGCCTCGACGGTGCGGTTGAAGATTTTGTACAATATTGAAGTCTAGGGAAAATAGAAATGAGTATTCCCACCATAAAGAGAAATTGATGCTTACCAAGGATTTATAGGCTCCAAATCACCAAAATAGGCCCAACAATTAGCCAACAAATCCAACGCAGGTTATTCTATAGATTGATCCCACTTTCGGTAGCGGATGGTCAAAATAAACACCACTTCTAGAAATTCTTGGAGACACGCACTCATCATCGAGCATTTAACAAGAATGAATATGGCCGGAACCATCTTCCGGTCACCGCTCAATGCGCAATTGATAACCAATCCGAATTAATTGTCTATTATAAAAACTTTGAATTTTTCAAATATTACTGGGGACTTTTCGGAAGGTACGAAATACCTTAGATTCGCGGTTGGCAACCATGAATTTTGACAACCGTTCTGTCATGGCGACATAAACAAACTTTGCAGATACAATTAAGTACAAAACACAGTAAGTACACTATGATTTTACTAGATAACCATAGTAAAGATGTTATTAAACCGTAATTAACTTTTTAGAACCAGCATAACCTAGCTTCTCAGCGAGATTCTACAGAGACAAAAACATGGAAGAAATAACAATTGTTAACTATCCGGGAAATTCCTAAAAATATTAAATTGTTAGCAAAGTCGATAAACAAAAATTAAGTTGGTTTTAATCCAGTAAAAAATGTCAAAATCCCTTACCTTTATACTTTAAGAGTTTTTTTAGGAAAATATGTTTACAAATATATTCAAGTTAATTTATATTTATTAACACTTAAACATAAAAAATAATGTTTCATAAATCAAAACTTACTCTAGGGGCATTCCACGTTACTCGGTAATTTTTGTCCCGCCCGTCACAATTAAAAATTGTGACTAAAACCACAAGTTATTAAATTAATATTTTATAATATTATTTTTATTGTGCTTATAATTTAGTAAAACCATAATAAACAATATTTTAAAATAAATTTTATAACGTGGAGTTTTTACTCACAATTTTTAATTGTGACGGGGGGGGGGGACAAAAATCCCCGAGTAACGTGGAATGACCCTCTATCATCTCCGAAAATGTTCCTATCAAACACTCTTGAGTTTAAACAATATGTATACCTACAACATATTTTTGTAAGCATTGTCTATGTTCACAATTTTATAATATAATGTTCTTTTTGGAATCATAGTGATTGTTCTTTTTTAAGAAATTAATAATTTGCTTTTATAAATCAATAGGTCCATAATGTAAGGCAAATAATTTAATTAAGAGAAAGTGAGGTTGTATTGGTCTAAACATTGTTAAATTTATTATCACAGTGTTTACGGAATAATTGTTCCGTCAACCGGTTATAAAATAGTTCATTATGTAACACTTTAGGGAATATAAGTAATTCGGAATTACTAATTTCACATTAAAAAGTGATATTAGAACGGTCATATTTCGTAATATAAGTAGAAAAAATTACTGACCTAAGTTTGTTTATATTTTGATTTTGATAAAACTGATCATTTTAATTAAGAAGTAAATAATAAATTTCTTGATCATAATGATATTTTTAAGCAATGAACCAGATTTTGTTTTTTTCATCCCAGTGTGCGAAATTTTCCCACCATTTTTTAAATTTATCCCACTGCAAAATTTTCCTCCCACTTTTTAAATTCATCCTTCTGTTCGAATTTGTTTATGTAAGGGCATGTTTCAATTACTTTAAATCAGTTTTAATAAATCTAAAACTTTTTCGTACAAGGAATGGGCGTTTTTTGAAAAATAAATAATTTAATTACTAATTTATTTGTTATTCAATTTTTTTTCAATAATTATTGATCGTTTATTTTTTAGTCAAAAATAGTAAAATAAAAAATATTTTTTTATTAAAAAACCATGCCTGCTAAAAAAAAATTATAAAAAAACGTCATGATACCCAAAACAATTTTCAGAATTATGTTTGTTTTTTAAATAACTCTAATATGTACCTACATTAAAATACGAAAACCTTTTTAAAGTACAAATTTTATTAAACAATAAAAGTTTCAAGTGAAGCACATCCCAAGGGACTGCAGTGTACGTATTGACTTTTAAATGATTTGACCTATAAAATCGTTGCAATGATTTACCAAGGTCTTTAAATTTTATCTAGTAAATAGACTTAGATAAATTATGTAACCAGAATTATTTATTGCATTACAACGCATCAAAATGCGGTTTCTGGTGTTATTTTTTGTGTCTTTCGCTAGTGCTTCCAATATTTTTTACATTAGTAATATTCCAAGTCCAAGCCATCATTTGTGGCACATGGCTATTATATCTGGATTAAATGCAAAAGGGCATAATGTTACATTTTTTGACCCCTACGATTCGAAAAATAAGGAAACGGAATTATTTCATCCGGTTTTTTTCGAATGTAAGTTTTTAAACTATTATTTGGATTTAAATATCAAAAATTTAGGTCTGACATGGTTAAAATTAACATCAGGCTTTTCCCAAAATCTGCCCCTATAGGGATTAAATAATTTTAAAAAATTTAACCAATATTTCTATAAATAATAATAATTATCAACATATTCAGTTTTTTTATTACATGCATTTAAAGAACAAGCAGCGAATTATTATTTTTCTAATAATAATAAACAGGGTGCACCAAGTATCTTGCTATGTATACCCAAACATAGCAAGATACTTTTTATTTGAAGCTACATTTTACAGTTTAAGCAAAGAAAGGTTGCTAAATTGCAAGTCCATTAAAATGGCGTTTGAAAATTAATTTAAAGAGATTTAATATATTACTCGAATATAATACTAAAAATTGTTTATGTAAATTAAAAAATAAATTATTGTAGGTCCTTCCTTCGTTGAGGAATTCCAAGATATATCAAAATTAGGAATATATGATTCATTTCAATTTTTTTACCAAGCTCAAAAAGATTTATGCAAAAACTTATTCGAAGCTGAAAATTTAAAAAACCTTATAATAAGCAATAAATTTGATGCCTTGATTATGGATATAACAGCACCATGCAGTGCATATATGAGCCAGGCATTTCCAGAAATTCCGATAATAGGGGCTGTGCCTTTTTTGCTGCCACCGGAATTGTCCCATATATTCGGAAATAATTTGCAACCCGCTTATTTGCCGCATTATTTCAGCGGGTTTTCCAGCGAAATGAATTTCATGGAAAGAGTGAAAAACTTTTTACTTACATATTACGGCGAGGTTGGGTATTATTCTTATAGTAAAGATTTTGAGGAGCTGGGTAGAATAATGTTTGGGTCCGATTTAAAACCTTTTTCTGAAAACGTAAAAAGAGTATCACTTTTATTGAGTAATACTAATCCTGTTTTCGATAATCCTCAACCTTTACCACCGAATATTATTCCAGTTGGAGGGCTACATGCCAGGCCAGGAAGAAAGTTAGAAAAGGTATGTATAACTTAATATAAAGCGTGGACTAACTTCTGTTCTTATGTCACTTGTATTTTTAAATGTTTTTTAAATTTATTTAGGATTTGGAAGATTTGTTAAATAGGTCTTCAAACGGTGTAATTGTATTTTCATTGGGTTCAAATGTTAAATCAAGCGCCTTGGGCACAAAGAAAATACAAATATTTTTGGAAGCCTTTAAGCAACTCAAACAAACCGTTATATGGAAGTTTGAAAGCGACCTCAAAGACCTACCCAAGAATGTATTCATTAAAAAATGGTTGCCCCAGAACGACATAATAGGTACCTACACATTTAAAAAAATCTATATCATAAATATAATCCCTTTTTATAGCTCATTCAAATGTAAAGGTTTTTATGGGTCATGGTGGTGCCCTAAGTACTCAAGAAGCATTTTACCATGGAGTACCAGTAATTGGAATACCATTTTTCTTCGACCAACATGTAAATGTTAAATCATTAGTTGAGCGAAAACAAGGTTTAAAAATCGATATAAATAACTTATCTAAAGAAGCTGTATTAAACACCATTTTAGAAGTATTAAATAATCCAATGTATGTATATTTTATTGTATAAAATAATATTATAACATAATAATTTGCAGATATAAAGAAAACGTACAGGAGGTTTCAAAAAGATTTAAAGATCAACCAATGACACCTTTGGATTCTTCAGTGTTTTGGATAGAATATGCCATCAAACACAATGGAACTTCTTTCCATGATTTAAAATCCCGTGACATGTCCTTCTTAGAGTTTACATGTTTGGATGTTTTATTATTTTTGTTATTCGTTACAATGTTATTTATTACGCTTGTGTATTATATTATTCTTGTTATTTTAAAATTAATTTTTCGAAAAAGTAATAAAAATAAAATAGAATAAAAAAATTCAAACAATCATGTTCATTATTTATCGGATAAATAATGACCAGCCAAGCGTTTTCGAAAAACACGCTATTAAAAATATCTCCCCACAAAAAATATAAAGTGAATAGAAATACATCAAGTTAGCCTGCTTCGGAAGTATCGTTATTTTGTCAGTGGTGACATTTGTATTTTAAAATTATATTTTAGCAAATAAAGTGCCTTATTGTCTACGTTTTTAGTTTTTTTATTTAAATTGTAAAATTAGTAAAGTTTAGCATATATGTACGATAACGATTTTATAAGTCGAAATGTGTGCGTTTCGGGTGTTTCACGATTCTGAACCTATGTCCTGACCATTGTTACATTTATTTTATTCAGCCAATTTTCTTAGGAAAACATTCCTAAAAATTACAGGCCTCTAAAAGTATAATATTTACTAACCATCTACCACATAATTCTTATAACTCGCTGAAATACAAATTTAATATTAGATAATAAATTAATTAATTTTTTGACAATACAAAACTCCTAAGAAACTGAGTCTAATAATTTAGTTAAAATCACACAATTATAAATTATTGGGACGGTTGACAAAAACCATGCTGTCAAAATTTCAGATTAGTCTGTAATGGCTATTTAGTGATAATATATTAGCATATTGGTAAACCAATATGCTAATATATTATTAAACAAAGTTTGTTTGTATTTTGAAAGTAATCTAAAAAATGTAATTTAATTATCTTTTAATTAAGATGTGAATAATAAAATCCTTGAACATATTAATATTTGTATGTGGGTCGTTCTTCTATTTTTCGGCAATGCGACTAATTTTAAGATTTGATAAAAAAGTTATTTTTTTTATGAAATATATTGTGAATTAGTTTGTAGATTCCCCAAAACACCTCCGTCACAAAAATGTTTTACTTTATTATTTGTCGTGCAACATCAAATATTATTTTTTTTAATTTCTATGCTTAAGACTTATACAACTTCGTCATGTCATACAAATCCGTCACCTTTTTTGAATACTGTCATGAAATGTCACAATTAGTGTTGCTAGATTCTGTCAAAAAAGTAAAGTACACTTTGTGAGAATTTACCTTAATTGCAAAAATGACAATAAAACAATGCAAATTTTTAAATTGACATTACCTATGTAAAAATTATCACTAAGAAACTCTTCCCCAGAATAACATATTTTTTCTAAAAACAAAGTCTGCAATCTGCATTTTAACATTTTTGAACATTTACAACAAGATACAATAGACATAACTTTATTATAACATTTAACTCCCATATAAATAAAAGACGTTTCACATACAGAGAGCCTAGAAAATGGCAAAACTAACTTATTTTGGCTTCTTATTGAGTAACTATGTATGTTACCATGTGTTAAAAAATGAATAAAACTAAACTACTTATATATTATATTAGAGTTATAACTATATTATATTAAAGAGACTACATTGTTATAAAACAATTTCTGAAAAAAAAAATTTAGAACGTAAGAATACTCATTTATTATAAAAACCGCTTATGTTCTTATTGACAAAGAATTTTACTCACAGGAAAAAAGTACATAAAAGTACCAAAAGCACCAAATAGTTTGTTTTTCAAAAAATGGCGAATGCACCGGGTTAATATTTTATTATTGATATTGGACAATTTTTTTATTCGTTTTCAAAATATTTTATCAAGTATAACCTAAATAAATATTAAAACTTTTTGCTATGGGGACATCTAAAAACAAGATGTTTAAAATACAACCTGCCAATTTAGTTAAATTAAGAAACAATTTAACTGCAGAAATTGAGAACATAACACCGGAGGTTTTAAACAGAGTGCGCGAACAATTTTACACTAGACTACTTAAGTCTCAGGAGAGTAACGTAGGATATTTTGAATATTTTTGTTTTACGAATCAAAAATAAAAATCAACATATTATTAAGACAAATAAGAACCGATATAAAAGGAATTACTTAATTTTATTGCTGAGAACTATCATAAAATTATTATTATAAGAACGATATCTTTAAAAATTTTCATAAAACATTTTGTTTTCTTTCTGGTGGTCCCGTTAGTAATCATGGAATTGCCCAAGAGGCATTAGAGCCAAGCTTTAATTTCATATTTTGTTCCACTGGCCAATAAAATTATAGTAAAAGTATAGTCAAAATTATATTATCTCCAATGCTTATATCGTGCGAAATACCGTGTAATACGATAATTATTATACAAGTTACCCTATTGATTGTGTTTACCTAATTTTTTTAAACTTATTTTGATATTAATTTTAAATTAAGAAAAATTATCTTATCTTTTAATGGAAAAATTAATGATGAAATACGAAGAACACTTTTAAATGATTTTTTAGATTAATATTTCATGCTGGATGGTAAACACAATATAAGAAAAAACAAGGTTTTACTAAACTAAAAAGTAAAAAAAAATTTATTCAACACCCATTTTGTTGCTTAATCTAAACCGGTGGGCAAAGTTTTACTTCGCCCACAGTCTGATTGGTTGGTTTTAAGTTAAAATTTGAAAAAAGTGACGTTAAAATTGCTTGATAGTCAAATGTCAAATAAAATTGGCTTAAAATTTCTTGTGGTTCTTGAATAATAAAATATTCCATTCAAGAAATCTCCTCTTTTTCCCACTAGTCTCACAATATACTAATAGTGTATGTATCGTTATTGGATGTGTTTTATTAATTACACAGGTTTACAAATGAAGACCTTTCAAACGAAAGTTATTAACCAATCAGAGCATGGCATTTTTTATCGCACACTAGACTGAGACACAATGCAGTGATCTGATTGGTAAACCACGAATTTAAAGTCGCAAATTAGTTTAGAAAATATAATATTAAATTAAGTCCTTACTAAGGTATTATATTTCGAGTACATACTTCTTTACTAGTGATATCTAAGCCAATCGAGTTCGAATAATACCATCTGCAATCAAAAAATAAAAATATTGATATCAATTTTTATCTTAACTAGAAATAACATACAATCAACTAATGAAAATTACTTAATAAGTTGTTGTTTTGATTGTCACGATATTATTTTTTTATTTTTAATATACCTTTGCACTTCTAGTACAAATGCACTTTTAAGAAAACAAAATACCTACGTGAATAGTAAAAAAATTTTTTTAAATTAAAATGGCTCCCCCTTTCGCGTGGTATGGCATTAGTATGCCTTTTTAGGGCACTGTATATTGAAAGAGAAGTTTCATATAAAAATCAGTTTTTCTATATAAAAACATTTGAAACAAAATAATTAGAATTTTTTATATATTTTTATTTTGTATAACAGTACACGAAATTTTTTTGTCAGATTTAAATGAAATTTACAAAATGTCGATGCCGTCACTGAACTATCATAACATAACAGGTTTTTTATTAGTCACTACATTTGATAATTTTTTTGATTAAAAAAACTAAAAATGTAGACAAGACAGTACTTTATAGGCGCTTAAAATTGTGACTCATGGTTTTTGTAAAAAAGCGCATTTTCAAAAAACGTGATCATCGAAAATTATTCATAACGATAAGGTGCTTTTTTAGATAAATTTTAGATAATATTAAACCTGAAAAATATGTAAACGTCAGTTACTCAGTTATCATTGCTTAGTGTACCTTTATAAATTTTGCAAGTGAATTTCTTAGTTTTTTTTGTTAAAATGTGTTAGAGTCGTCAAATAAAAACATAATAGGTAAGTAAATAAAACTATTTTTTATATTTTTGTTCTATTCTTACCAGTAATTTTTTTTCATAAAAATTATTGTCAAAAAATAAAAACCAGTGAAATGAAAATAAAAGGGTTTTTTATTTGCATCAATTGTTATTTCGAGGTCATTTATATTTATTTATTTATTAGAAATTGATGATTTTAGATTATTATAGGTATTGATCTTTAACAGCAAAAATTAAATCAATATATATTTTTAAGCTGCGTTTATACTATAGCCACTCAAATATTTATTTGAGATAAAAAGATAACTTGAAAATATTTATTTTTATTGTTATGTTATACTGCCCCAAGTATATTTCTAAGTGCATCTTTTGTATTTGAAGAGCCACAAGGTCGGTTAAATTAGAGAAAAATTGCGTAACTATAAGCCTATCAAACGAAATTTTTTAATTGAAAAATTTCAAAATATTTGAAAAAAAACTAAAAACCTTCCAAAACCAAAATCGTTACATCTTCTTAATTCCTGAGAATTTTGAAAAAAAATAAGTTTTACATGTAAACATACGCAATAATCTACATTTTCATAAAATTTCTTTACTTCTATATTTTGAGTTACCATCACCATCTTTTGTTTTAATGATCGCCATATTTTATGTAGTTTTAAAAATCGTTGGATTTCTTAATTTTTTTCCTATCTGACCATGTGATAACTCAAATTCTAGTAGAGAAATTTGTATGATTACTTGTGAAACTTCTTTTTTGGTTTAAAAAGGTTTTTAGTTTTATATTTATTATAATATTTTTAGAGAGAAAAAATTATCATCCACTTAAATGCATATCTTGTGTGGTCCAGGGGATTTTTTTTTCTCGCAAACAAAATTCAAGAGACAAACAAGTTGTATTTTTAGCTGCTTAATGCGAAAAAAATATAAAAAATACCAAAAGTCAGTGGTTAGAGGTAAATTTGCCCCTTTACACTAAAAATAATACATCCAAATTACAACAAAATTGCGTAAAGGATTAGTAAAGGCTATATTAGTAATGATTTAATCCCAATTTTTTTTTGAGAGGGCTTCTAAATTTAAGTAGGAATTGGTAAAATCACTAAAAATTCAGCTAGATTAGGAAAAATGTGAATTTACGTAATTGCAGATTTCATGTAATAGGCAAACATTCGCCTAATTTGTAAAATCGGAAACGGACCCCTTTGGCTAAAAAATATTTATTACAATAGTTCCATATAAAAACAATACCATGCGCAGTATAAATACGCCATTAAATCAATTTTTCATTAAAACATCGCAGTTAGTGGCTCGATAAAACTTATTAGATTATTCTATTTTTTTTAAATAAAAATTAATTCATCTGGATAATATGTAAGTAATATCAATACTCGATCGTATCTAAAAAATTAAAAATACACATCATATTATTATTTATTAAAAGTGATTAAATTTTGCAGGCAAAATGGGTAAAAACTGGAACAAGTTCAAGCTGTTGATGTGGAAAAATTACGTTCTACAAAAACGAAATTTGGTGCAGACTGCAATCGAAATAGTGGCCCCAATTCTGTTTTCCCTTTACATTGTCGCTATTAGAACTCTGACCGAGCCTGAACATGTCAAGGAAATAAAATTCATCCCGTACGATCCTCTTAATTGTCCATACACATGGTCAAATATCAGTTTGTTGTATGCGCCTTCATCGCCTTATAGTGATAAAATAATGAAGATTTTTGAGAAACAGTGTTCCGATCATGGCAATTTTAATGTGATACAATTAAAGAATCAAGTTGAGATAGAGAGTTATTACAGAGAAAATGAGGCAACGGTTTTTGGGGCCATACAATTTCCAGATGAATTCAGTGAGACCAGCGATCATACCGAAATAACTATAAGGTATAACTATACAGTCCAGTAATTAGTTAATTAAATTGGTTTTATTTTTTAGACCCACTGCCGAGTTAAAAAGTGCTAATGGCCAGACATGGCTTACGAATTTAATTTATCCGCCCTATCAGATGCCTGGACCTAGGGAAGCTAATAACAATTATGGCGCAACACCAAGTAGGAATATTTATTTTAGTTATTTGTTTTGAATTTCTTATTTTTTTTTACAGATTACCATACTGAATTCTTTTTGCATATTCAAAAACTTTTGTACAGTTCGTTGGTCCTCAACCATAAAGGCATCAATATTGATAATTTTGAAAATATAAGTGAAATATTGGCCAACACAAATTTGGCACAACCTGACATTCAAATGCAACGATTTCCTTACCCAGCATATATCGACGATGTTTTATTAACTGCACTGATGAGCATGTGTGGAGTTATAATCATGTTGAGTTTTGTTTATTCCGCCATCAATATTGTTAAGGCAATCACCACGGAAAAAGAAAAACAACTTAAGGTACGTTGAGATTTATTTTAAATGTTAACATGTAAATCTTTTATTATCGATAGGAAGCAATGAAAATCATGGGTCTTTCAAACTGGCTTCACTGGACAGCATGGTTCGTTAAAACCTTCATATTCCTTCTAATCTCCTGCATTATAATGGTGTTCCTCTTCAAAATAAGAGTAGCAGAAACGTCCTTGTTCCCTCACGGGGACCCATCCGTGATGATAGTGTTTTTGATTTTCTACATCATGGCAGTTATAACCTTTTGCTTCGCAATCAGCGTGTTTTTCTCCAAAGCCAACACGGCCGGTACCGTATCTGGGTTGCTATGGTTTCTCTCTTATGCCCCGTACATGTTCTTGCAGGAAAATTACGCAACTTTGAGCTTGTCGGCGAAGTTGTTCGCCTCGTTGGGCGCCAATACTTGCATGTCATACGGATTTCAGATAATGTTAATGTACGAAGGAACGCAGGAAGGCATACAGTGGTCGAATGTTTTCAAAGGTGTCACGCCCGACGACGATTTAAATCTGGGCTTTCTGACTGGGATGCTCATAGTGGACAGTATCATATACCTCCTTATAGCGTTGTACGTTGAAAGCGTATTCCCTGGGGAGTTCGGCGTGGCGTTGCCATGGTATTACCCCTTCACGAAGTCCTACTGGACAGGAAATCCTGTTAAAGTCCACTCGAGCTACTCCGACGAAGTCCTCGATGACACCTTATTCGAGAAGCCGCCAAGCAACTTGGAAGCAGGTTTGGAGATAAAAAATTTAAGGAAAGTCTTCGCCCAAAACACAGCAGTCAATAATCTCTCACTGAAGATGTATAAAGACCAAATAACAGTTTTATTGGGTCATAACGGGGCGGGTAAAACCACGACAATGTCGATGCTTACTGGTATGATAACACCAACCAGTGGTACAGCGGTTATAAACGGTCATGATATAAGAACCGACATGACGGGCGTGCGCGATAGTTTGGGGTTATGTCCGCAACACAACATAATCTTCGATAACCTCACGGTCAGCGAGCATTTATATTTCTTCAGCAAGCTTAAGGGTCTCGACGATAAGGAAGTCGAGGAGGAGATAAATAAATACATTGAACTTTTGGAGTTGCAACCGAAGAAAAATTCCAGATCCAAAACGTTATCAGGGGGTATGAAGAGGAAGCTTTGCGTTGGTATGGCCCTATGCGGGAACTCCCAGGTGATTATGTTGGACGAACCCACTGCCGGGATGGATCCTTCAGCTAGAAGAGCTCTGTGGGAGTTTTTGCAATGCCAAAAACAAGGAAGAACCATTCTTCTAACCACCCACTACATGGACGAAGCTGATCTTCTAGGAGACAGAATAGCAATTATGGCCAATGGGGAGCTGCAATGTTGCGGTTCGAGTTTTTTCCTAAAAAAGAAATATGGCGCTGGGTATCACTTGATAATGGAGAAATCCAAGGAGTGCAAATCTTGGGAAGTGACGGCATTGTTGAAGAAATACATTCCAAACATTGAGGTTGAAGGAGATGTTGGATCCGAATTAACATATTCATTGGAAGAAGAACAGTCGCAAGTATTTGAATCTATGTTGAAGGAACTGGAAAATAATTTTGAAAAGCTAGGAGTAAGGAGTTATGGAATTTCTCTCACCACTTTGGAAGAAGTGTTTTTAAAGTATTTTTATTGAACTAACACATCTAAAAGTATTTATTCTGCAAAATTTTAGGGTAGGAGCCGATCATATCCAGGAATCAAATCAAAGTGACACAGAGTCTACAAAGGACATGAGATGTAATATGAGTCATATTTGTAAAGGAGGTCAAACAAACTTAAAAGATTTTTTCAGTGGATATTCCAAGCTCCCCCAGCACCAAACTGACAGGTCTTTCCCTGATGGTAAACCAAAGTTATGCCATGCTCATGAAAAAATTCCTCTCTGCTATAAGGTCTTGGATTATGCTTTTTCTGCTGTTAATATTACCGGTGATTTTCTTGATAATCACAATGGTAAGCGCTAGAACGGCCGGAGCGAAAATTGAGTTGTCAATGTTGAAATTAAACATGGATAAATGGAAAAAATCTTCTGTGCTAACGGAAGGTCCGAGTGATAACGCCTATTTAACCCAGTACAAAAAATGGTCTGGGAACAATATGAATTTCATTAATGTTGCGGATATCGAAGCTGAAGCCCTTCAAAAAGTATGTCGTGTGTATATTTATACCTACATACTGTATATGCGTACGTTTTTTTCTAGAGAAAGGATATTCCCAGCACTTTCAGATATTATTACATAACTGGTTTAAAATATTTTAAAGATAATGATAATGAAAACTTGACCGCATACTTTAACAACGATGCCTATCATTCCCCTGGTATTGCGTATAGTTTAATTTTAAATGCTGTTTATTCTGCTAAAACTAATAAAACATTGTCATTTAATAATTTTCCTCTGCCACCCACAAGCGAAACACAGGTAAATAATAATCTTGGACATTTGCTCTCCTTTGTATTTAGTAAGGTTCAGTAAGTTCAGACTTATTTTTAGATAAAAGAAGCAACTGCTTTTAGTGCTGTATCATTTGGTTTGCCCTTCAACATAGGATTTAGCATGTCCTTTGCATGTTCAATCTTTATAAACTTCATCATAAGAGAACGGGTCTCAAATTCCAAACATCTACAACTGGTTTCGGGCGTGAAGGCTTTCATCTTTTGGATTGTTACATTCGTTTGCGATTACATCATATTTTTGTTGATGGTTGTTATGTTGATGTTAACCTTGTTGTGTTTCCAAGAAGACGGGTTCACCAGTGCGGAAGATTTGCAGAGATTTATAATTCCTTTCATCCCCTTCGGGTTCGCTTTGCTGCCTTTCTTGTACTGGGCCGGATTTATGTTCAAGACCCCGCAAAGCGGTTACACCAAAATAACCATGCTTTCGGTTTTGCTGGGTTGCATAGGATACATGGTTGTAAAGGTGCTGTTGGTGCTTTTGGATGAAGAAGCTTGGAGTGAAGGTTTGGGCTACGTGTTCCTGTTGATTCCGCATTATGCCTTGATGTGCGCCATTGGAGATGGCTACTCCATATACAAAACAAATAAGGTTTGTGCAATGTACACTGAAGCAGGGGCTGGCTCGCCGGCTGGCAGTTGTCCAGGTAAATAACACGATCCCTGATAGCACAGTTTATTCCAAGAATGTTTTTAAACCTTCCAGTGGGAATATTCTTAGGATCATGCTATATTTCTTCTAGTCATGTTCTAAGAATGTTTTTTAAACCTTCCAGTGAGAATATTCTTAGGATCATGCTATATTTCTTCTAAAGAACATGCTTAAAAGAAATATAGCATAATCCTAAGGCCTATAGGCAGGTTCTTAGAAGGTGCAAAGTTTAGTGGTAAAAATTAATACACTCTAAACATATGCTTAGAATGTTGAGAAAGAAATTGCTATACTAAGTATAGGTACCTTTATACGTAGATTATGGTATATTTTACTATTATATAGGTACCTATATAATAGTAAAATATACCATAATCTACGTATAAAGGTACCTATACTTAGTATTAAATACCAAGTAAAAAACACAACCCAAAATATTTTTTTATAGTTATTTGTCAAATTTAAACAATATTCGATAACAAAAATACTTTTACTATAGGTATCTAAATTATCCGGCTTTTACATAAAATCTTCTATCCAACTTAAATACAATGAAAAATGTTTTTTTTTATGAAGAACTATTTGGTTTTTTCTTTTATGAAGAATTATTTTATAAGGAAATATTTGGTTTTTTTTTATTTTATTTTATGTTAAAAATAAATATTTATTAATTTGTATACCGATTTTTTATATCTGAATTAACATTTTTATGTATAATAATCCTAACTATCTTCAACTTCAATCTAATCTGACTTATCCCACAAAATTTTCCAATTTTACTTTTTATGAAATAATGTCATATAACTTATGGTTTAAAGGTCAAATTGTTTATTTAATATTTTTAAATATATATATTAATATATCGCAAAATTTTTTAAGGGGACGACAAATACATTTCACTGTCATATTATGACAGTGAGGCGTATTTGTCGTCTCCTGAAGAATTTTACGAATGTAGAATCCAACATATTAGGAAATATTCTCAAAAGCTTCCTAGAAGCTCCATAAGAAACCTTAAATGTTCTTAGAATGCTTTTTAGGAAGGTTTTAAGAAGCTTTTAAGAATCTAATTGCATCATTAAAGGGTATCTATTGAATGTTTTAAAAGTCCCTAAGAACATTCTTAGCAATAAGGAAAGGTTCTAAGAATATTCCATTATTCCGGGTCATATCTTCTTACAAGATTCTTAGAATCAAATTTTGCTATCAGGGATGAAAACAAAATATTTTTCTAAACGTGTAGTTCTAGATCCACCAGATACATATTTCCAATGGACCATCCCAGGTATGGGAATGAACCTTGCTTATTCCATGATTTCTGGGTTTGTGATGATGCTCGGACTTATCATATACGAGTACAAAATACTGACAAACGTGGTATACAAGTTAAAGCTAAAATATTTCAAACACCTACCAACCATCGAAGATGACATGGATAGCGATGTATTGGAGGAAAAAAGGGTTATTAGTGACAAACCAATTGATCAACTCAAAAACGAGTACACGTTCGTAATGAAGGATGTCACAAAGTATTACGATAATTTACTTGCTGTGAACGGGTTGTGCTTGGGAGCTAAAAGCCATGAATGTTTTGGACTACTAGGTAAATGTATCTACAGGTCACAGGTTCAACATTTGACGGTTCTTTTTAGGTATAAATGGTGCAGGTAAAACCACGACATTCAAAATGATGACTGGAGATATAAAAATGTCTCACGGTGATGCCTGGATAAACGGATACAGCATAAAAAGCGAAATCAAGAAGGTGCAAAAGTACATCGGCTACTGTCCTCAGTTTGACGCTCTTTTGGACGATTTGACCCCGAGGGAGACCATCAAAATGTTCGCGTTACTCAGAGGCATCCCCAAGCGAGAATGCGACTTATTGGCCGTCAAACTGGCGGAAGATTTCGACTTCACGAAACACATCGACAAGAAGGTTAAACAGTTGAGCGGCGGGAACAAAAGGAAGTTGAGTACGTCGGTGGCGTTGATAGGAGACCCGCCGATATTGTATCTGGATGAGCCCACAGCTGGTATGGATCCTGCCACCAAACGGTTCTTGTGGAACTCGTTGTGCAAGGTGAGAGACAGCGGTAAACTTATAGTGCTAACCTCGCATAGTATGGAGGAATGCGAGGCATTGTGCACGAGGATAGCCATAATGGTGAACGGCAATTTTAAATGCCTGGGTTCGACGCAGCACCTCAAAAGCAAGTTCGCTAAAGGCTACACGATAACAATTAAGGTGAAAAAGCTGGCTAGCAGCCACGGGGACAACCACTCCGATACGGCTCCCGTGGAAGGGTTTATCAAACAAAATTTCCCCAATGCCACTGTAAGGGAGCGACATCAAGAATTGCTCACGTATTATTTGACCGACACCGTTTTACCTTGGTCGCAAATGTTCGGTATTCTAGAAAAAGCTAAGCGGGATAAATCGCTGAATATCGAGGATTATTCCTTAGGACAATCCAGTTTGGAACAAGTAAGTTTTGTTTTTTTTCTTTAAATTTAATTTAACTGTTATTTTTAAGGTGTTTCTGACATTTACTAAACAACAAAAGGAAGATAATCTGCTAAAATAATATTTATTCCAAAAATCTCTGTTTTAAAATGTACAGGTCGAGTAAATTAAATTACATCTACTTAAAAATATTAATTTATAATTTCACAAATAAAATATATTTTAAGCTAAATTGTATAACTAATTGTCCCAGTTCCTTATCGGTAGAGACCGGATTCCAAGCAAAATGTCTCTCGTCAAAAAAAAATAGTATGAAGAACTGTTACAATGACTTATTACTGTACTCGTACTATTAATTTAACTCAGTATCACAATAGCCTTAAGGCTTGAGCAAAATGGTCATTTTTCTTTTAATAGTATATTATGTATCAAGTTTGATAAACGCCATTTTATACACGAATTTAATTTAGGCACGAGCGAGTGCTTAAATTAATGAGTGTATAGAAAAGTTTATAAACGAGGTGCATACTCTACTTTTTCTACTACAAATACTTATTATTATCTTAAAATGATTTAAATCAAAAATTTGTATAGAGCGCCATCTATGAAACAACAGGGGAAACTGTCAAATGTCACATTTTTACATTTTATAAACACAATTATAAAGGTTATAAACGAAATGTATTTCTTGAAAATTGACAGTTTTTCACAGTAAAAGTAAAGAAAATGTTTTATAAGGACTTTACAGTAGAGTCCGTGCACGAATTTAAGTTAAAGTTTACTGCCGTCGAAATTAAAAGGTTAGTAAAATGTTCATATAAACTTTTCAAATATTGGCGTTGAGAAACTATTTAATACTTTTGTATTTTTGTATTGAGAAAATAAAATAATTTTCTCATTTAGTATTATTTTACAAGACAGGCACTTTATTTTAACGATTGTATGACATTTGACAGCTGTCAACTAACTTAAAACTAACTTCAGCCCGTGACTAAAAACCTGTTGCTAACTTCAGCCCGTGACTAAAGCGCCGTAAAGCCATAACTTGTCAATGTGTATTTAAAAGGTCACTTAGTGTCATGGAAAAATAGACGATAAAGGGCGTTTTAAAGGTGGGAGTACAAAAAACAATTTACGTATTTTACCTGCCATTTTTGGATTTTAATTGCCTAAAAGTCCTGTACTTAAATAAATTAAAAATTTAACTAAATAATACAGCTGTATGAATAAAAAACACATTTAAATCGTATGGTAAGATAACTGAAACGAATAATGACTGAAGTTATTATTAGCTGGAAAATGCATGTTGTGTATTTATTTTAAATAATTATTGTTTTATGTAAAACTTTTACATAAAAATTGTAACACGAAATATCAGATAATTTTAATAAACTATGCTGTTTGTTATTATATGTGCAATATTGCTGTGGCAGAATATATTCATATGTAAAATTAGAACAAAATGCGAAGAAAATTTAATTTTTTTTTTTGGTAAGTCCATTTCTCTTCTTCATTGTTCTAATTAATTCTTAAATAAAAATCATGATTTTTTTTATGAGGCACAAGTTATAGTACGAGTTTTATTAGACACGGGCGAAGCTTGCGAGCGAGTGTTTAATAAAAACGAGTGTCTAGAAAAGTTTATGAAACGAGTTGCTTGCTATGCTTTATCTATGACGAACACAAAGAAGAACCACTAATTTAGAAAAGCTAACTTCAGCCCGTGACTAAAATGCCCAAAAGCCACTATTGTTTACTTCAGCCCGTGACTAATACGGCATGCCACAAAGTCACAGCTTGTCAATAAAGAAGTAGATAAAAAAATTAAAACAGTATAATCTAGAATTAATCCTAATCTAATTAGACTATACCAATATTTATTTTTTTATGTTATCAAGATAAAAGTTTATCTTATCGTACAAAAATATTAAAAACAACTCGACCTCAAAATGAATTTGGTAGATAATAGGTTTTTCCATTAAAAATGATAATAATAGATCATAAATAATATAAAAATATCGAATAATTCGGCGCCGTCAAAATTCCTGAAAGTGTAGCACTGTAAAATAACGATCGAATTTATTCAGCTTTCAGTCGCTGAAAACGAATGTAGTGTTCTATTTTAAGTTTATAACCTTACCTTACCTAATGTAAACATTTAGGTTTTTACAATTGTTTTTAATTTGATATGGTGCAAAAGCTTTGCGGGTAAGTATACTACTATAGTATACTATAGTAGTATACTTACCCGCAAAGCTTATAGGTACCTACCAAAAATATATATTTGATTACTAAAATTATGATTCTTCAAGATTTACAATGTCAAGTCAATACTATAGTATACACGTGTGTCGGCAAATAAACAAAAATAGTTGTATTTTTTATTTATATAATTTAAATATGTAAGGTTATGATCAAAGATAAAAAAATCATTATAAATAGATCAGTAAATATAATTTACACAATTACAATGGTTTATTACGTCGGGCATAACACATTCAAATTTATAAATGTAATGTAATCGAAATTGTAAGGTACGTACATTATTTATTTAACCAGTGAAATGATGGGTATTTGTAATAAATTATTACACATGAAGAAGAATCGATAACAATTCTAGATTGATTGAAAATTTAATTGTCAAATAAAAAATTGTCTGGTGTAGGTAGATATTTTAAAAAAGTTTGTAAGGTTAAAGTGAAAACAGATATTTTTTTAAATTTAAAGGTTTTCATACAAAATTAATTATAATTAATATATTTTTTTATAATTTTTTTATTACTACATTTAATTTTTTAAATTTTGTTATAATACGTATTATTGTATATTGTACAATGTAAATAAAACACTTATTTCTGAATACGACCCTGTTTTCATAAACTATAGTTTATATATACATATACAGGGTCTCCTGAAAATATTTTAAGTATTTTCGAGTTACAAGGTTTTTAAAATTAAATTCTATTTTAAGTTTTTAAAACTATTTTAACATTTATAGGAACGTTTATAAAACAAATACTCAATGTAATATTTTTTCAGAATTTAAAGGCAATTTTATTTTACATCTTATAACATATGTTATAACATATGTTATAACATGTATATATATGTGACATCTAACAAGCGGTTTAAACCTTACTTTTTCGCAATCTGAAAACTGTCAAGCGTTTTTAACCTCATGAGTGTAACACAATTTCAACTTGGAGCTCGTGCATTAAAAATGTAAATACACTGTTGCAATATTCAGTCAGTGATTAATAGTACATTATGTATTAAGTTTTATAAACAAAGCTTGCGAGCGAGTGTTTAATAAAAACGAGTGTTTAGGAAATTTATAAAAGACGGATTTAACCTCACTTTTTCCCAATGACTAAAAACCTTAAAGCCACTGTTGACAACTTCAGTCCGTGACTAAAACCAAATAAAATCACAGCTTGTCTAAGATAAAAAAATAAATGGTATATTAATTGTGTATCGAGTTTGATAAACGCCATTTTAGTCACGAATTTTAACTAGGCACGAGCGACTGTTTAATTAAATGAGTGTCTTGAAAAGTCCATAAACGAATTGCATACTATACTTACTTAATATCGTAGTAATTACTACGAAAAATTAACTAAGCTTACATAATTTAAATTGAAATTTGTATAGAGCGACATCAATAAAACAATAGAGTAACCATTAGTAAGTTGGGCGCGTCGGTCAAAATTTTATGTGCAAATCGAAATGTATTCCTTAAAAATAGACCAGTTAAATCCTAAAATAATTTTCACATATTATTTTACTATTTAGTAATTGGCTTAAGCCACGTTATTTTACGAATGTATGACATTTCAGTCCGTGACTAAAACGTCATGGAAAACTTGATTGCGTGAAAAATCGAAAAATATTTGTAAAAAAAAGTTGTTACGCTTGATGTAAATAATCAATAAAAATTATAGTTTTTATTGAAACTGAAATATTTTACATGTTATACAAATAAATATAATAAAACAGTTTGGTTTATCACTGCATGTTTTTTCTCTGGGATCATTTTTCTCAAATCAAAAAATCTGCAATGTTGATTGTAAGATTTGTTAAATTGGAAATATCAAAATCGCCACCACCATAATGGATGATATTAAAGTAAACCAAAGTCGTATTCAATGTGTATTTAAAAGGTTATATATTGAACGTTTTAAAGTTGAGAGCAGAAAAGTTTTTTATAACAAAATCGGCTTATTAAAGCGAGTGTTAAACTTGAATGTTTAATAAATCGAATTTTTTTTAAAAATTATAGGTTTTATTGAAACCTTATATTTTATTTATTAATTTTTTAACAACTCTTACCATGCTATACAAATAAATAAAAAAGGTTTGGTGTTGGTACTTACAGGTTGGTGTTCTTGGTTGGTATCACTGCATGTTTTTTCTCTGGAAGCATTTTTTTCAATTCAAAAAACATTTTATCAAAATCGCCCCCAAAACGGATTATAATAAAGTAAACCAAAGTCATATAATTATTTAATAAATTTTCAACAAACATTACAAAAATAAAAGATAAAAAATTGCTATGGAATTAGAAAAAATTATATCACTTTTAAATTCTTCCGAAACCTGCAAAAATACAAAAACATCAAAATTTAAAATCTAATCTTAAAAATAAATAATCATCGCAATAAAATGAAACACTAAACTTTATTCAGTCTGGAGGATTTCCGCGTTGCACTCGGCCCACTCAAATTGCTCCGATTCGCATCGTTTTCGTCGTTGGAATCATCGCTGGAATCGTCTCGAAAGAGAACGGCCTTGGAAACGCTGATCCTCGGCAGATCCTCCTTGAAGAGAACGGACTTTTTGGCCGACTTGGCCCCTTCCGGCTTGAGTATGCTCTTGCCCGGCGTCAGCCCGTCCCCGCACTTGATGGCCTGCGACAGCCTCATCATCGCCAAACCCGGGGAACTCCCGCGCTTCTTGGCCTCCGAAGCCAGCACCGACATCCGCAAACTCATGCGCTTCGCAGAGCCGGGGCAACCCCTCACCGGCGACTTCACGCAGAAATACCCGCCGTCGAAAGTTTTGCCTTCGTCTGAACCACCACTTTCCACATCCCTCTTCTTGCTCCTCTGAGCCTTAATCAACTCCCTCAAACCCGAAGACGCTTTAGTCTTCTTGCTGGCAGGTCTGCCTCTCTTGGCAACGGGTATCACGGCCGCCTTAATCTCCGGCATCAACTCCTCCCAATTGTTGCCCCTTAACATCCGCAAGTTGCTGAATCTTTTGTCCAGATCTTCCACCTGCATGTAAATCATATCCCAGAACCCGTGCAAATCTTTACAGGTGATCGGTTTTTCCGCGTATTCACAAGTACGACACTGCTCCACCAAACCGCGAAACTGCTGAAATTTCTTCGCTATAAGCAACCGCGACTGGCCTATCGCGACGTCTATCATATCCAGGGCTTCGCTGGGAATATCAGATTCTTCTTTGTACGATTCCCATTCGTTGCATACACGTTCAATGCGATTGATTTCTCTTTCCAACTTTCTGGAGAAATATTCGGCCCCGGCCTTAGGACTTGTGTGTTTCGAGACGTCTTTATTTTCGAATGTTGGCGACTCGCTAAGGCTTTTACTCATCGAATTTCGTATTTGATATTCTTTTCTGGCGCTGTTTTTGCCTCTCGACACGGTCACAAACGGGCTCACGTAAACAGGGAATGCATCATTTTCTGTAACAAAATACAAAAACGGTTTGACCACGGTTCAAAAATATCATGATATTTATATAAATATCAAAATATCGGATATACATATACATATCCGATATAAATCAATATCTTGATATTTATTTTTTTTATTTATTTCTTTTAAGGTTTTTAAAAATTAATTAATATTAGACAGAATAAAAATGTTTTTAATTTATTTAGAAAAATAAACAAAACACAAAAAATAAATTCTTAACAACAAAATTTTAATATAAAAAAATATTAATTAAAGGTTCATCATATCTTTTTCTATTGCATTTTATTTTTATTACTTTTAACCCTACAATTATAAGTTATAATTTATAACACGATAAAACGACGATTTCGCGGCCAGTATACAATTGTGACAATCGGTGACAATAGATAGCGCTACGGTCGTCTTTTAGACAATGCGCAGGATTAAACAAACGAATTAAACAAATTTTAAATAAAAAAAAATCACATTTTTAAATTATTTTTTAACAGATTTTTTAACTTTAATTTTAGTGTTACTTTTTGGCGTATTAACTTTTTGTTTTTTTGTAAAAAAGTTGAAAAAATTATAAAAATGGACTAGAAAAACACTAAAAAGTTCACTACTTTATTGACTACTGAAAAAGCGCGGGAAAATCAAACATAAAAAATAAACTGTGCAATTTAAAATATATACAGTATGTTTTCAGGTGGAGCTATAAAGAGGAAAAAATATTTTTACATTACTTGGAACATTTCAATCTTTAAGTTTGTCATTATCTTTCAATCTTTAAGTTTGTCATTATCTTTCCAACAAATGAATGTTATTATCACGGTAGAAATCTCTCGAGAATTAGTCATTTATTTTAACTTATGAAAAAGTATAATAAACGCATAAAACGGCTATGAAAACGTATTTGTGGCAATAAATTAAAAAGTAAAAGCTCTAAAGTTTTAACAAAAAATGTTTGGTACAAAATTTTCAGAAAAATCAAGGTTGCAGATTAACCAAAAACAATATTTTACCTTTCTCAGAAAATTTCATTTCTATATATGCAACACTTAATTTTTTTGTATATATTATTATATATATTTTATATTTAGGACTTTTTTTTATAAAAAAAACATTCTTACTTTCTCTGGGTCCCCAAAATATTAACAACAAAAATGAAGTGTTAATAAAAAAAAATGTTTGTCAACCTGTATCTTTTTAGAAACTAAATACATTAAGTTTTGCCATAAAACAAAATTTGTTAATGTTAAAAATTTCAAGCTCTACATTTTTTGTCTTAGACCACCAGTTTGGAATTTTTTATATGTCAAAATAGAGACTACTTATAGAAGAACATAAAATACATTTTGTAAAAGTTTGTATTGTTGAAAACGTATCTTCATAGTAAAGATTTAAAATATTTGCAAAAATAAGGTCCAATAAATTATGAAAAAAATTGCATTACTATTTTCTGTGACTATACAGAAAAAGCGCGGGAAAAACAAATGTCGTTGGGGTTAAATTAACTTTGACATGCAAAATGTACCTATAAGGCTATAAAATTTTTGATCAAATTTCTTAAAATTGTTTTATTTAATTTAGTTTTTTAACTTTATTTACCTTGTTTCTCTGGTGTGGTAAACTTTTCAAGATTATTACTATCAATGGTTGATGTTGATGGGATTGAAGATTTTTCCTCTGAACTTTCCCCATTGTATTCTACATCCCAATTATTACCACAGGGAGCCTTTTTAATATTTTTCTGTGTTCTAGTACTGTTTTTGGGAGTTTTTTCGAAATTTTTTGTTGTTTTTGAGCCACTTTTGGGTGTTTTTATTGTGTTTGCAGTTTCAGTTTTAGGTGTTTTTTCTATCTTTTGTTGAGTTTTTATGGCACTTTTTGGCGTTCTTGTTGTTTCAATTTTGGGTAATTTTTGTTGGGTTTTTATGGCACTTTTTGGTGTTTTTATTGTGTTTGTAGTTTTAATTTCAGGTGCTTTTTCTACTTTTATTTCAACAGGGTTTTTCTTCGGCCTACCTCTGGCTTTTTTGGGAGGTGTTGTTACTTTAGTATTGCTTTTCGGCATTTCAGCTTTTTTCGTATGTTGTACACCTTTCCCCTTTTTTGGGGTAACTTTTGTCTTAGCTAGATTGTTTTCCGAAACAGATTTCCTTAAATTCACCATACTAGCAACTTTATTTCTAGTGTTATGTTTTACAGGCAAAGCATTTGTAACAAAATCTTTATTAAAGTCTAGCTTTCTTTTAGTGGCTTCCTCTTTTTTGATTACAGTTTGCCGTGTTAATCTTGTAGAAGGCGGTCTGTTTTTGTCTATGTAAATCGGTTTAATATTTGTAGGGGGTCGAAATTCGTGATTTGCCGGCGCAAATCGTGATTTTAGTGGTGTAGGGTTTTTTTTAATTGGTTTTCCTTTAATTTCGTTATTTACTTTATCCAAATCGGGCAAACCTATCTTATCTTGCACATGGCAAACTTTGAATATAGGCTTCATTTTAGATCGTTCCTAAAATAAATCATCAAATTGAATTTTTCATCAAGTTAAATTGTATAACTGTATAATTTTGAGTAAAAGATAAAACTAACCTGTACAATTCGTTTTTCCTTTTCAAGTTTCCACTTTTGTAGCATTTCAAACCGGCTACCTTTGGGATGACTATTTTGAAATAAAGAAGTATTAACCTTATTTGAACTATTCTTTTGATTAACTTTCCCCATTTTCGGTTCTGGTGTCTTGTACGGCGTCATATTCTTGTCTATTTTTCTGTTGTTGCAAATCGTATTATTTCTTGTTTGTTTTCTGTTATTCTTAAAATTGTCCAATCTGTCTTTTAACGTTTTTTGTTTAAAGTCTTTTGATAAAGCGTACTTATGAAATTCCAGACCACTTTTAAAAAACTCAGGAACGTCCATTATAATAACACTAATATTGCGATATTTATGCTCTAACGCTAACTTTCATATGAGGCAACTCTCTCTGATATGAGGCAAAGTAAAACCGTTAATATTTAAAAAAACGTTTGGCAGTTATAACGAGTGCCAACTTTAACGCAAAAATGTTAAAGGTGTCTTCTTTACCGGCAACATTATTTCGGCTATTGGGGGTTGTTCAAAACAAATAAGGGAAACATTCGTTTTTTTAAATTTAAATTCAGTTAGTTTTTTTGATTTTATTGGGGACAAACGGCTTTTTTTTTTACAAAAATCACCCTGTGTCGAAATGAAATCCGGCAACGTCGCAACCAACCAAAGCAGTGGTTCATAGAAATAGATTGATTCATAGACATTAAAAATTTCGTATACATTTTACGGTAAAATTGTGAGTCAGTGTCATTTAGTATAAAAAACATGACAGTGTAAAAAGTTAAATTGCAATTATTAAAATAATAGTAATAAGTCCCAAAAATGGATCAAAATAAACGAATAGACGAAACAAACGAAAATGAGGACGCACAAGAACATGAAAATCAAGAATCTCAAATAACATTCCAAGAACCACAACAATCTACAAATGAAAACATTGAAGTTATGGACGAGGAGGACCCAAATAAAAACGATGAGACCACCGGACTAATCACTGATAATACAGTGATTAGCTCTGTTGCATTCAAACAGCCTGCAGGTCGGTTTTAATCATAACTACAATATAAAAATTTTACATATTGCACGCGCGACCTTGAAAAATTTATTATTTATTTTTGTTTATCCTAACCCAACTTTTGACAGCTGACGTTTTCTCGTGTCATTGATTTTATACCTCGTGACGTCATACGCGACAGGGTCGTATTTAGAAATATGTCGAAATTAATCATTTTAATTTATTTTTTTAATAATATTCTCTACCAAATTATTATTATTATATTTTCTATAATCGATTTTATGGCAGATCAATAAAAAAACTTTTGAGTTAAAAAAGTAATAGGAAAACGTATTTTGTATGTGTAAGCTTAAATAGTTAATTTAAAAAAAAATAAGTTAAACAAATAATCAGAAAAGGATTTTTATGTGTAAGCTTAATTGCTTAATATTAAAAAAATTGACAAGGCAAAGTTAAAAATGTTTGAATAAAAACAACGATTTTATTTTTTGTAAAACGCGATAGTATCCCGCGATTATTCCCGTAGTCGTTTAATGGTTACCATTATATAGGGTGTCCCAAAATTTGTGGGCAATCTCCTGGATTAAAATAATATGACAAGTACCTATACAATTTTTTCTCTCAAAAAACTCTATTTTCAACTGACACTAACATCATTATTTTAATCGTTAAATTTAAAAAAAAATATGCAAAAAGATAAAAATAAATGCAAAAAACCCTATTGTACAAAAACATTTTTTTTTCGTAAATAGTACCTACATTTTATCGATGTCGATCAATAGTAACTTTTTTTTAGTTTAAGGTTTAAGCTGACTAAAAATATTATTGATGTGCCTTTATAGTACAGCAATAATACAATAATAGCATTACTCTGTTAGAGCTTATAAGATTTTAACAATATAATGTTGGTTAAGTTTTGTAGACCTGTGCAATTAGCATAAAACATCAAAATAAAAAAAACAATTTTAAAAACATTATAACCGAATATATGTAGACCAGGGTCGATAATTTTTGAAACCAAAAAAAATAACAGTAGGATGAAACCCATTGGAAAAGGAGAAGAATATAATAAAAATGAAAGGAAAAATAAATTACGGGCGATCTGACTTCGGGAAGTGGGAGGGGGGGTTAAGGGTAAAAAATGGTTTATCTCGATTTCCGGCAAAACTACAAGTCCTATGGAAAAAAGTTAAACGGCAAAGTTGTAGGTAATAAAAGGATCTACAACTTTTGTAATTAAATTTTTTTTACATAACCTCAAAATTTATGTGAAAAATTAAAAAAACCAAGTTTTTGGTTTTTTATTTTTATCTTTTTCAAAAAAAAAAATTTTTCCACGAAATTTGGTGAAAACTTACCTTTTTATGTCCCAAATACACTGTAATTTATTTGATTTGAAATATTTATTAATTCGCCTTATTTTGACTTAATATCAAAAAAGCACCCTAATTTTCAATCGAAAATTCTCGCGTCAAAATATCAGCTTTTTTCAAAAAGTCGGTGTGCTTTTTGTTCGTTGAAATCTCTACTTTTTGATGGTGTAAAAAAATATACATTACTATGGTAAATGTTCGCAGAAAATGCAAAAAATATTATAATGAATAACGAAAAAAACTCGATTTCGAAAATTTATTTTAATCATTATGTACAATTTCATCAAAAAAATGTGATTGTTGCAATTTTTTTAGTTAAAAAGTTTATTTATTAAATTCTAATAACATTTATGTCAGAAAATCTCATAAAATATAAAAATACATGTAAATCATACTATTGAATTTAGATACTTCATTCTGATTACGTTATTCATTATAATATGTTTTGTATTTTCTGAGAACATTTACCATAGTAATGTAAATTTTTTATACCATCAGAAAGTAGAGAGTTCATAGAACAAAAAGCACACCGACTTTTTGAAAAAAGCTGATATTTTGACGCGAGAATTTTCGATTGAAAATTAGGGTGCTTTTTTGATATTAAGTCAAAATAAGGCGAAATAATAAATATTTCAAATCAAATAAATTACAGTGTATTTGGGACATAAAAAAGTAAGTTTTCACCAAATTTCGTGGAAAAAATTTTTTTTTGAAAAAGATAAAAATAAAAAACCAAAAACTTGGTTTTTTGAATTTTTCACATAAATTTTGAGGTTATGTGAAAAAATTGTAAATACAAAAGTTGTAGATCTTTTTATTACCATGCCATTTAACTTTTTTCCATAGGACTTGTAGTTTTGCTGGAAATCGAGATAAACCATTTTTTACCCTTAAACCCCCCCCCTCCCACTTCCCGAACTCAGATCGCCCGTAATTTATTTTTCCTTTAATTTTTATTGTTATTTTTTTTCTCTTTTTTCCATTTTTAAAGGCTTCTGCACTGGTCTAATATTTCAATATTTTTTTAAAGAAGAAAATAATTTTTAAAAAAGACAAGTATTTTTCCGAAATTTTGCAATTTTTTACAGAGATAATGACAGGTAATAGGGGTAAATTTGCGTTGTTGATGTGGAAAAACTGGAAATTACAAAGGCGAAAACCTTTACAGACTGTGATAGAAATTTTGATTCCAATCATTTTTTCAATTTTGTTGGTTTTCATTGGCACCCTAGTAACAATGGAAAATCATGATACCAAAGTTTTTGAACCATTTGATGCCCTTAGCTTTCCAGCAGTTGCCCAATTTTTACTTAACAATAGGTAAATATATTTATAGATATAGATATAGATCAAGACTGATATACTTTTAGATCTAAAAGTTCCGAAATAAAAATCCCAACAGTAATATTATATTCCCCTGACAATAACGACACTAGCGCTGTAATGGATATATTCCGCATCATCAAAATATGGAACGTGACTGGTTCAGACGACATAAACAACGATTACAGAAAACAGGAAAACGACATTTTATTCGGCGTGGATTTTCCTTCAAATTTTAGCTTTGAGAATGAGGATATTTCTTTATCGATACGGTTTCCCGCCGAACTCAAATTTGTGAAAATTAATTTGACTGCTTCCGATAATAACTGGAAAACATATTTGACGTATCCTTTGTACGCCAAACAGGGACCAAGGGACTACGACGAAAATACTGGAGCTACGCCAAGTAAATAACAGGTGGGTGGTTCTTACGAAAATTAAGTTAGTTGAGAATCGTGAGAATCGCCCAGCTATATTAAAAACAATCTTGCATTACCTAAAACAATTTTTTAGGCTACTTCAAAGAACAATTTATCAGAGTCCAATCAATGTTAACAATCTCACTGATAGCTCTAAAGAAGAACATACCTGTAGATATTGACTACCAAAATAAATGGGAGGTATTTAAATTTATACAGGCTATTAGTGGCGACAATGGAATTCCTTTGGTAAAAATGCAAAGATTTCCGTATCCACCTTGGAATGAATCTCCAGTCTTGGAAGGTTTAAGAACCTTTTTGGGGCTGATTATAATGCTCAGTTTCGTTTATTCGTCCATTAACTTGGTGAAAATGATAACAAACGAGAAAGAAAACCAACTTAAAGTAAGTATTACCACCTTCTGTTATCAGATAGACATGTTTAAATATTTTTAGGAAGCCATGAGAATAATGGGTTTGCCAAATTGGCTGCACTGGACCGCCTGGTTCGTGAAGTCTTTTATATTCCTTTTAATATCATGCATAATTATTGTGATACTTTTCAAAATAAATATTTTCGTTCACGCCGATCCCTCTGTGATGTTACTATTCCTCTTGTTCTACACATCTTCGATTATTATGTTCAGTTTTGCTGTCAGCGTATTTTTTTCAAAAGGTATAAAATTTCAATTTAAACTTTTTGTTTCAAAAGGAAAAGTCGCATATTTTCTATAAAACGAACAAAATACAGCGTGTCACCAAATTTTTAGTAAAGTATAAATTTTGGGCCGCCACTGGTTGTTCCTGACCTATGAAATATGCTTGCACAGTGGGCAATATTCTACATTCATTAAAAATTTACATTTTTGTTACCAGTTACCATTGAATACTTTGTCGATTTTCAATAAGTTTAAAGGTTCCCTTGTGGAAATTATTCTCTGAAAAAGTTTTAATAAGTAAAAATGAAAGTTTTGAAAGTCTTATTTTCTCTTAAAAACTCTGATAAGACTACAATTCTAACAATTTTTTACATAAGATGCACTTGACTTGCTTTCATTGTTGCCACTGTACGTTTTATTTAAAAAGTTTCTATGCGTTGCGAATAATTATTATACTTTATGTAATCAACAAGGGATCTGTATGTACATAAACCAATCGTATGTCACTGTTTTATTCTAATAAATTGAAGTAAAAGTTGCTCACTTATATTGTAAACATTGCTTTCGGGGTTTTACAAGCCTTATAACAACACAAAAACAGTGTTTATTAGACTGGGCCAAAATTATTTTTTTTTTTTGAAAAGTATATCGAAAATATGGTTTGGGGTGACAAAAAAAAAATATTGTGAAAGTTTGAGTCCATAATATTAATATTAAGAGGTCTATCATCGCAATTTTAATTTTTTTTTCCTCAGCAAGTTTTAGGCTCAGAACTCCCAAACCATTGAGTTTGACTTAAAAAATTTTTTTTAAGAAAATTAAATGCTCTACAAAAAAGGTTAAAGTGAAATTTTCCGCCAGATGAACCGTTTCCTTAAAATCATGCCTTAAAAATTGGTATAGTTTTACATTTTGATCTTTTAACTTTGGAATTTTGTAATTCATGTAAAAATTAGTATTCCAAAGTTAAAAGATCAAATTTTAAAACTATACCAATTTTTAAGGCATGATTGTAAGAAAAGGGTTCATCCGACGGGAAATTCCAATTAAACCTTTTTTGTAGAGCATTCAATTTTCTTCAAAAAATATTTTTAAGTCAATTTTGTTAAACTCAATGATTTGGGAGTTCTGAGACAAAAATTCGCTCAGGAATAAAAAAATCTAAAATTGCAATGATAGACCTCTTAATATTAATATTATGGACCCAAACTTTCACCATAATTTTTTTTGTCGCCCCAAACAATATTTTCGATATACTTTCCAAAAAAAAAAATTGTCGATTTTTTTGGCCCAGTCTAGTAAATACCTTTCATTGTGTTTTCTTTTGCAATAACCAAATACAACATCTCTGAATAATTCCGGATATTTATTTTAATCGCTATAGGGCCTACCATTTCTTTTGTAAAAGTCTTCCAGAAGACTTCCAAATCTTGTCATTCAGAGTTTTTCAGAGAAACTAAAACTTTCAAAACTCTTGCTTTTACTTATTAAAACTTTTTCAGAGAAAAATTTCCACAGGGGTTTGCTTGATATTACATTCTTTTTTGCTTGGATGAATAATATCATTGTCTTTAGAGGTAAAAACAATGATGATATATAGGATAGGTCAGTGACATCCCGTGGCTCCCTGGTTTTGTCAAAAAAATTTCATAATTTGGCGTATACTTCACTCACAGGCAAAATAATCGATCCACACAATTTTCGATGAATTTCAATCGCAAATAACTTTTTTATTTGATTTTGGATTTAAACAAATATTAAAGAATATTGTAGATACATTAATGGAGAATCGCTCACATTTTAAAAATTACTAAAAAATACACGTACGTTTATAATATACAGGTTTAAACAAAAATATGTTTTTTACCATAAGTTTCAGACACTCTGTACAGTGGCAAAACCGTATATTGTTCTAAATTAAGTTTTAATTATCAAGTCACATCTATTTCTAACAGTTTTGTTTTTGGTTCACCTTGATATATTTATTTTTGTGGAATATATGGATTTTTTTTTTAAAACATTGCAATTTTCAATACTTTTCCTGTATGAAGAACTAAGGTTGCTATGGTCCATCCATAGCCTATGGAGGATGACAGTGACAGTTTTGTTGAATCATCCTATACTTGGACATGTCATATACAGCTTTCAAAAGCTATCAAATTGTTTTTTGTAAATTAATGTGTTAATTTTGAGGTGTCTTCTTACTTTTAAAAATGTCTCCGACTGATGTTGCCCTTTGTACTTTTTGTGACGTTTAAAACACTTGCCACGTCCATCCTGGATTAAATTAATGGCTCTGGCAACATCAGTCGGAGACATATCCATTTTTTAAAGTAAGAAGACACCTCAAAATTTAAACATTAATTTGCAAAAAAACAATTTGATAGCTTTTGAAAGCCGTGTATGACATGTCCAAGTATGGGATGATTCAACAAAACTGTTACTGTCATTTTCCATATCCTATGGATGGACCATAGCAACCTTAGTTCTTCATACAGGAAAAATATTGGAAATTGCAATGTTTTTTAAAAAAATCCATATTTTCCACAAAAATAAATATATCGAGGTGAACCAAAAACAAAACTGTTAAGAATAGATGTGACTTGATAATTAAAACTTAATTTAGAACAATATACGGTTTTGCCACTCTACAGAGTGTCTTAAACTTATGGTAAAAAACATCTTTTTGTTTAAACCTGTATATTATAAATGTATGTCTATTTTTAGTCATTTTTTAAAATGTGAGCGATTGTCCATTAATTTATCTACAATATTCTTTAATATTCGTTTAAATCCGAAATTTGTGTGGATCGATTATTTTGCCTGTGAGTGTATTATCCCCCAAAGGATGACACTCTGTTTTATATTACGTTTTCTAGTAGATATGCATCCTTCATCATTAGTACTATTTCAAAAATTTTAGCTGATACTGCAGCAACCATGGCGGGTCTGTTTTGGTTCCTCTCCTTCACGCCTTATCTATTCCTCGATCGAACGTACGATCAGCTAAGTCTGACGCAAAAGATGGTGGCCGCTTTGGGGCACAACACCGCCATGGGATACGGATTCCAGATAATGCTGAAATACGAAGCGATCGACGAAGGCATAGGCTGGAGGAACATGCACCTACCTCCGACGCCGGACGAGAATTTGACGTTGATACACGCGATAGTGATGTTGGGGGTGGACAGTTTGCTGTACTTTTTGATCGCGATGTACTTCGAGGCGATATTCCCGGGGGAGTACGGTTTAGCGCAGCCGTTCTATTTTCCCTTCACGTCGTCCTATTGGTTCGGGCAGCCGAGGAACACCGGCACGACCAATCACGAGCCTCTGGACACGCAAGGCGAGTTCTTCGAGAAACCTCCTGATAACCTAAAAACCGGCATAGAGATACGAAACTTAAGGAAAGTGTACAAGAACAACGTAGCAGTGGAGAATCTGTCGTTGGACATGTACCAGAACCAAATAACGGTGCTGTTGGGCCACAACGGCGCCGGTAAAACCACCACGATGTCCATGTTGACAGGCATGGTACCATGCACCAGCGGCACCGCCGTTATCAACGGTTACGACGTCAGAACGCAAACCAAAAGAGTAAGGGACTCGCTTGGGCTGTGCCCTCAGCACAACATTATTTTCAACGAGCTGACTGTGGGCGAGCATATTTACTTTTACAGTAGGCTGAAAGGCATGGAGAAGAAAGACATACCCGATGAGATTGAGAAGTATGTTAGCATGCTGGATTTCAAGGACAAGGTAAGTTTTTATGTGCCATCTTAAATCGACATTTTTTTATAGAAAATGCGAACTTGGCCAAAAATGTTTCGATCGTTACAATATTTTTTATTGTAGGTAAATACATACAAAAAAAATTAAGTGAATTCACTCAATTTTTTTTTAAATTGTTTTTTTCTAAAAAAGGAAAAAAAATGAGGTCTTTATTTTGACATTGCCACATTTTTCTTTGCTTCATATTTTTTTTTTGATTGAAGTTGATAATATGAACAACTTTCACCAAAAGTCCCGGGTTGGTTAAATTCGTCGTTTTGAAATTATTATTTTTTTAATGAAAAATGCCATTTTCTAGCAAATTCCTGGTTCATCGCAAAAATTTGGTATTTTATCTAGGGTCATGAAACTTGGGTGACCTTTATAAAGTATAATTTAGAACTTTTTGACATATTTAACATATTTTTGTCACTTCCGGTTTTTATTTTTTAAAGAAACACCCGATGCATTTTTACATATTTCGATTCAAAATAAAATTCTGAATACATACATAAGTCCTTGGTTAATTTTTGACAGGTCAAATCATTTTTTTGATTAAATTTTATTACTATAGTGTATAGTGCCTTGAATTGGCTTTTCTGCTTTATGTTGGGACAAGTAGTCTGGAAAAAATACAATTTTATTCTTTTTTAGGAGCTTTCAAAAATTGAAAAACTATGCCAAAACTATTTTTTTCAATAATCGTTGGTCATAAAAGAAATCCACTTTTTTAAATTTGATACCATTTGATTTTTTAATAATATTGCTTTCAAACTCTTAATTAAATTTGAATATTTATTAGGTTTTAAAGTGTGTACAGAAGTAAATAAATTAAGAAGGCTTTGAAACCTTTGTGTTTAAAATAATTATCAGATTTGACAGTTCTTTAGTTTGTTTTGCTGGTAAGTGAATATTAACATTTTATTTTACTATGAAAAAATACGCTAAAGGGGCATTCCACGTTACTCGGTAATTTTTGTCCCACCCGTCACAAATAAAAACCACAAATTAATATTTTTTAATATTATTTTTATTGTGCTTATAACTTATTAAAAGCATAATAAACAATATTATAAAATAAATTTTATAATGTGTAGTTTTTACTCACAATTTTTAATTGTGATGGGCGGGACAAAAATTCCCGAGTAACGTGGAATGACCCTAAAACTTTAAATTAAAAGGGTGTAAGTAATTGCTCAACATTTTTTGGTTTTAAAACTACTAAATAAAATCATTCAAATATATTGAAACGATTATAAAAAGTTATATCTAAACGCCCCATAGTGTGGCCATTGTAGGGAATCTCTGGCAATAAATAAAAAAACGAAAAATGCAATCAAATGAAAATTTGTTATTTCTAAATATAATTAAATAGCGCATTAGTTTCTAGACCTCTTAGGCTTAATACTTAAATTTTCATTCCTAATATAGCCTTGGTAAAAAAGAATTTCGCGACTGCCTCACTTATATCTGTTAACCGATCAAAAATTTTCGGAATAGCTTAAGTTCTACATTTCTTCGAAATCGCGTTTTTATTTTTAAGTTTCTTCTGCATTCGATTAATTACTTTTAGGTAGGTATGTAATTCTTACTTTTTATTATTTTAACCAAAATTAACTTACGTATACTTTTTACATCTTTTAAAAGTATCTAACACAGGCAAATTAAGAATTTACATTTAACTCTAAAATTTAATTTACTTACTTAAGAGCATTTCCCGTGAAACCAGAAGTGACAAAAATATGTTAAATATGTCAAAAAGTTCTAAATTACACTTTATAAAGGTCCCCCCAGTTTCATGAAAATCGCAAATTTTTACGATAAACCTCGATTTTACTAGAAAATGGCATTTTCATTAAAAAAATAATTATTTCAAAACAAAGATTTTAGTGAAAGTTGTTAATATCTTCAATTAATGTAAAAATTTTAACCTTAGTTTTTTGCCTTTTTTTTAAAAACAATTTAAAAAAAAATGAGTAAATTCACCTAATTTTTTTGTTTTTGTAGTAAATTACCTACAATTTAAAAAAAAATTGTAACTATTGAAACATTTTTGGCCCAGTTACGCATTTTCAAGAAAAATGTCACTTGTAAATAAAAAATATCGATGCTTCTGTCTATTTTTCAAAAATTTCCTACGGGTGAACAAAACAAATTTAAGAAAAAATACGTGTCTCATCGATTTGTTGAAAATACTATATATTAATTGCCGAGAAACAATGTATGATTTAAAAAGTGACTAAAGAGTTTCTTCCATATTCCACATTATCTTTTGCTACTTATTTCACCAATACTGACCCAGTTGCAAAATGCATCATCTTTGCAAAAAATCACATTTTTTCTAAAACACGTTGTTTTACTGTTTAGAAAAATGCGAAAGCTAAAACTCTATCAGGAGGCATGAAAAGAAAGTTGTGCGTTGGGATGGCATTTTGTGGAAACTCCAAAGTAGTGATGTTGGATGAACCCACAGCTGGAATGGACCCATCTGCTAGAAGATCGTTATGGGAACTAATTCAAAAGCAAAAAGATGGTAAATTCTTGACTTACTATTAAAAATTAGGCCTCAAAAAAGACTTGGAAAACAACATTTGTTACAGGCAGAACGATTCTTCTAACGACTCATTTTATGGACGAAGCAGACCTCCTCGGAGACAGGATAGCGATAATGAGCAGAGGTGTTTTAAAGTGCACCGGCTCAAGTTTCTTTCTGAAGAAAAAATTCGGAGCCGGTTATCACCTGATTCTGGAAAAATCCGAAAACTGCGATATTCAGAAAGTAACGCATTTGTTGAGGAACCACATCCCGGGTATCGAAGTAATTACATCGGTATTCTAAGCTTCATTTTATTTTTCAGTTTTTCTCTTTAGGTGCATAGCAGTGTTGGTTCGGAGTTGACGTATTTGCTCGATGAAGATGAGGCGCCCAAATTTGAAAAAATGCTTAAGAGTTTGGAGGAAAATTATGAAGAACTAGGTGTTAATGGTTATGGTATATCATTAACGACTCTAGAGGAAGTTTTCTTAAAGTACTCACTACACATACACCGAATCATTTCGCTAAATTATTTATTTATTTTTCAGGGTCGGATCTGATCAAGTTTTGGCTAATAATGGTGAAAACCACAAAGCCACAGGTAAATAAATCAATATAGGTATTAGGCTGGTTCAAAAAAATCAACTATTGTTTTTTCCTGAATTTTCGCACTAAAATATCTTAACAATACCAAAAAAAGACGCCTGTGAAAACCGCATCTCTTAATTTTAATATTTAGAGGTCGCGCATCGAGAATTTTTATTTCCCATTCTCACATTATTTGTGTTCAACCGAACTTCGCCTTTTGTAACGAATTATTTGTATTTTTTACATATTTTGTTGCAATAAAGACATTATTATTTTTATTATTATTATTAAATAACATGGAAAATTTTGTTTTGTTTCTTTATAATTTTCTAGCTTACAAACTAATTAACAGATTTGTATGCGCGATATATATTCTTGTGGAAAATTGAACGCTCTACAAAAAATGTCTCATCATTTTTTCGATAAACCAACGAGTTCAAAAATTATTCAAAGTCGAAGTTAAATTTATTTCATAATTGCATTTTTTACTTCAATTTTAGGCAAATTCACAAATATAAAAAAAAATCATTCAAAAATCAAAATTACGATATTCAATAAGCCTTTTAAATCAATTCCACTGAAACACCTACTATTTTTGGAAAGAATTCATTAAAATTCTTTTTGATTGATTAAAATCCTTTTTTATTGATTTAAATCCTTTTTAATGAATTCTTTCCAGTAATAGTACATGTTTCTGTGGAATTAATTTAAAAGGCTTATTGAACATAGTAATTTTGATTTTTGATAATAACTTTAATGAATTTGCCTAAAATTTAAGTAAAACATAAATTTAACTTCGACTTTGAACAACTTTTGAACTAGTTGGTTTATCAAATAATGATAGGAGACATTTTTTGTAGAGCGTTCAATTTCCCACAAGAATATATATCGCGCATACAAATCTGTTAATTAGTTTGTGAGCTAGAAAATTATTAAGAAACAAAACAAAATTTCCCATGTTATTTAAATGGGAAATAGAAATTCTCGATGCGCGACCTCTAAATATTAAAATTAAGAGCTCCGGTTTTCACAGGCGTCTTTTTTGGTACCGTGAAGATATTTCAGTGCGAAAATTCAGGAAAAAACAATAGTTGATTTTTTTGAACCAGCCTAATAGGTATAAATAAATAGGGTACTCAAAAAATACGTTTTAGTTCAAATATCATACACAAGGGAACGACGCAAAGGAATCGAATTAACTTGTAACCAAATTCGCGCGATGTTCATTAAAAAGTCCCTTTCGTCCCTAAGGTCGTGGATAATTCTATTGATTCAGATTCTACTGCCGATTATTTTCCTGTTGATTGCCATTGCTATTATTAACATGAGCGGCAGATATCAAAGCGGTTTGCCGGATTTAAAGTTGAATTTGGACAAGTTTAACTCGCCCAAAACCATTGTGCAAGTCGACGACCAATCACCATACTCCAATACTTTTATCGATATAGTGGGCAGAGAATCTGAAATAGAGACTACCAAGAATATAACTGATATTGCACTCAAATTGGTATGTATGTATATAAGACTGGGACACAAAAATCGACTATTTTTTTTTAAGTAGGTATATCGAAAATATAGTTTGGGATGACAAAAAAAAATTATGGTAAAAGTAATATCAATCATAATATCATCGCAATTTTAGATTTTTTTCCTGAGCGAGTTTTTGTCTCAGAACTCCCAAATCATTAAGTTTAACAAAATTTACTAAAGAATATTTTTTAAAGAAAATTGAATGCTCTACAAAAAAGGTTTGATTGGAATTTCCCGTCAGATGAACCGTTTTCTTACAATCATGCCTTAAAAATTGGTATAGTTTTACAATTTGATCTTTTAACTTTGGAATTTTGTAATTCAAGTAAAAATCAGTGCCCTGAAAAAAAACGATTAATATTCTTATGGGAAATCAAATTCTCTACAAAAAAAGTTTTTTATCATTTTTGGCTAAATTCACTTCATCAAAAGTTATTCAAGGTTAATTTGAAGTCAAAACGAAATTTTAACCTTGAATAACTTTTGATTGATTTAGCCAAATGTTAAGAGGCTTTTTTGTAAAGCATTTGATTTTCCATAAAAATATTTATCGGTTTTTTATGGGTACTGATTTTTACATGAATTACAAAATTCCAATTTAAAAGATCAAAATACTATACCAATTTTTAAGGCATGATTTTAGTGAAACTGTTCATCTGACGAAAAATTTCACTTTAACCTTTTTTGTAGAGCATTTAATTTTCTTAAAAAAATATTATTAAGTCAATTTTGTTAAACTCAATGGTTTGGGAGTTCTGAGCCTAAAATTTGCTGAGGAAAAAAAAATTAAAATTGCGATGATAGACCTCTTAATATTAATATTATGGACTCAAACTTTCACCATAATTTTTTTTGTTACCCCAAACTATATTTTCGATATACTTTTCAAAAAAAAATAGTTGATTTTTTTGGCCCAGTCTAAGGTATATTATTTAAAACTTTCCCGGCAAACAAAAAACATTTTAGAGGAAAGAAAACAACAAGAACTTCAAGTTCCATTACATAGTGGGGGCACAGTTTGAAAAAAAATATGTTCTATTATATAGACAATTTATAATAAATGTTTACTTTAACAACGATCCTTATCATTCCCCTGGTATCGCTTCGTCTTTAGCATGGGAGACTGTGTACAAAGTTCTTTCAAATTGTTCCCATTGCAATCTGAAGTTCACCAATCACCCGCTACCATACAACACCAAGTCCATGGTAAGTTGCAAGTTTTAATTGCAGAAACGACAAGCAAAAACGAGGAACTGTTTTAGATGGAGCGAATAGTAACAGCCAGCTTTGGATTTCAATTGGCGTTTCAAGTGGGCTTCAGCATGGCATTTTCCGCGCCGATCTTCATTTTGTTCGTGATAAGAGAGAGAATTTCCAAATCCAAACACCTCCAGCTGGTATCTGGAGCTGAGGTTTGGATATTTTGGGTCACGACATTCGTTTGCGATTTTCTGATATACTTTTTCATGGTGGTGATGTTCGTGGCGGTTCTGAGCGGATTCCAACAAGAAGGATTTTCAACGCCCGCGGATTTAGGTTCGTAAAGTGTTTCGATGTGTCTCGGTTGTCAACTACACTAACAGGAAAAATAATCGATCCACACAGATTTTCGATGAATTTAAATCGCAAATAACTTTTTTATTTGATGTCGGATTTAAACGAATATTAAAGAATATTGTAGATAAATTAATGGACAAACGCTCACATTTTAAAAAAATACTAAAAAATAGACGTACGTTTATAATATACAGGTTTAAACAAAAAGTTGTTTTTTACCATAAGTTTAAGACACTCTGTAGAGTGGCAAAACCGTATATTGTTCTAAATTAAGTTTTATTTATCAAGTCACATCTATTCTTAACAGTTTTGTTTTTGGTTCACCTCGATATATTTATTTTTGTGGAAAATATGGATTTTTTTTAAAAAACATTGCAATTTCCAATATTTTTCTGTATGAAGAACTAAGGTTTCTATGGTCCATCCATAGCCTATGGAGGATGACAGTGACAGTTTTGTTGAACCATCCCATACTTGGACATGTCATACACGGCTTTTAAAAGCTATCAAATTGTTTTTTGCAAATTAATGTTTAAATTTTGAGGTGTCTTCTTACTTAAAAAAATGGATATGTCTCCGACTGATGTTGCCAGAGCCATTAATTTAATCCAGGATGGACCGTCACAATATTACGTGGCAAGTGTTTTAAACTTCACAAGAAGTAAAGTACGAAGGGCAACATCAGTCGGAGACATTTTTAAAAGTAAGAAGACACCTCAAAATTAACACATTAATTTACAAAAAACAATTTGATACCTTTTGAAAGCTGTATATGACATGTCCAAGTATGGGATGATTCAACAAAACTATCACTGTCATCCTCCATAGGCTATGGATGGACCATAGCAACCTTAGTTCTTCATACAGGAAAATATTGAAAATTGCAATGTTTTTTTTAAAAAAAATCCATATTTTCCACAAAAATAAATAAATCAAGGTGAACCAAAAACAAAACTGTTAAAAATAGATGTGACTTGATAATTAAAACATAATTTAGAACAATATACGGTTTAGCCACTCTACAGAGTGTCTTAAACTTATGGTAAAAAACATCTTTTTGTTTAAACCTGTATATTATAAACGTACGTGTATTTTTTAGTAATTTTTAAAATGTGAGCGATTCTCCAATAATTTATTTACAATATTCTTTAATATTCGTTTAAATCCGACATCAAATAAAAAAGTTATTTGCGATTGAAATTCATCGAAAATTTGTGTGGATCGATTATTTTGCCTGTGAGTGTATTTTTACCTTTCCAGGAAGACTGATGGCCGTCATGTTGTGCTTCGGGGTGGCCATATTGCCGGTGCTGTATTGGTTCGGATTTTTCTTCGAAGTTCCATCGAGTGGTTACACGAAAATGGCCTTCATAAGCCTCTTCACCGGTGTCGTGCCTTTCTTGATTACGCAGATTTTCGCCGCACTGGGTTTTCAAAGGACGTCGGATATTTTGCAAAATGTGTTTATTATAGCGCCGCATTACGCCCTTAGTATGGGGATATTCGATATATCCATGCTGAATGGCAAGAACAGGGTTTGCGACGAAATGGCCAAGCATGGTATCAACATTGCCAATAACACATTTTGTAAAGGTACCTACATTTGTTTTAATTTAATCCCAAGTAGCATTACAGTGACAAAAACTGATATCGCAACTTCAAATGAGTGGCAATTACGTTAAAATAACTAAATGTATTAAAATACAGTTTATATTATATTAGCATAGTTGTAGGTGCAGGTTAAAACTTGGCCAAGAATGTACAATATATGACATGATTATTATTATATGATGTTTGTGCAATCGCGATGGCCAACAATAAATGACCAAATTGTGCCCAATAATAGGAAAAAGCAGTTTGGATTAAGTTAACCTACCTAACTTAATCCAAACTGCTTTTTCCTATTATTTGGTTTAATTTTGGGAATGTTTGGGCATGGAAAAACGGTGACAAATTTTTAATCTTTATTTGAGAAAATATTAGGCTTTTGAAATATTGGAACAAAGTATTTACAAATATTATAATTATATTTGAAAGAATATTACTAAAAAAGCTTTTTTTCATTTACATTCATTTTTTGGAGAGTATTTGAAAACAAACAAAAAAATTTGTATTCAAATTTTTTAATTGTAATAAAAAAATATTTAAAAAAATAAAAATTTCTTAAAGAAAAATATATAATTAAAAAATGTTTTAAATAATAAAAATTGTAAAAAAAATATCAAAGGACCTCTAAGAAGGCCTAGGAGAAGAAAATATCGTGTTCATGTAAACTCTCTAGAAAAAATACCTTTATACTTGTTATAATATTATGAGACAAATAGAATTATGCTTTATTAAACATTAAGAACTTATTGTAAAATTGTTTGTAATTGGTAACTTTATATGTTATGAAGAACTTCTAAAATAAAAAAATAAATCAATATTAAAATTCAATGCAAATATCTCAATTACTTTGCTCACTTCAGGCACTTTAGATCTTTAAACCCAATATTTTTTTTCCTCTGTGACATATAGGTGGAAAATTTATTTTTAAATTGTCCTGCTTGTAGTAATTACTAAAAGCCTTGTACGCATAACGAGATGAAAATCTATAACAATGAACAAAAAAAAAGTACATAATAAAGAACTACCAATGTAAATTTATATTACTTCAAAATTAACGAGGGAATATCTGTTATATCGTTGTGCTTTCGATGATATAATTCTTCGAAAAGTAATAAATTTTTCAATAATTAAAAAACTTGAAAATTACTTATTCAAAATTTAAAGCTGTTTAAAACTTGACACACGTTTAGTTAGTGAACGGATGATTATAATTTTTTTAAATAACTGTCACACAAGCACTTTTTGACAAATTTTTGTAGAGAAAAATGTCTTGAAATATTGATTAACTTCTTACGACGCGCCGTTTAGACCAATCAACATTACAAACGCTTTGCCAATTTTCGACCAAACTCATTACTAACGAAGTTGGTCAGAAATAACTATACGTTTCATGCAGTTTTTGTGCTATCGCGTTGGGAAATAATTGACATAAAATATGACAATTTTTGGCCAAACTTGATGAAAATAAACCCCAATAAATATAAAATATCGTATACCAAATTTTGTTGGGAAAAAGTTGACTAATTTCGTAATAGAATCGTTTCTACCACGTGGTACAGATTTTGGCAATACACTTTGCAGTTCCACGTATACGTTTTGTCCACTTAAAATGCTACTTGAGATTATTATTTCCTATTAATTAACTGTTTAGGATATTTGGGATAAATTGAATTTTAATTTTTTCTCTAGATTCTGGTGATTTTTATTTTCGCTTCGAAAGACCCGGAATCGGCCTTAACATTTTGGTTCTTTTATTGCTGGGTTGCGTCCTACTCCTAGCCCTTCTAATCTACGATTACAAACTGATAAAGCCAATAAGAATCAGTTCCGGTCCTGTCGAAGTGCCGGACGAAGACGGCGACGTATCCGAAGAAAAACAAAAGGTTCGAAACGCAAGTGAAGACTTGATCAAGGAAAACACGTTGGTAATGAAGGACGTCACAAAGTACTACAAAAAAAATCTTGCCGTGAACGGTTTGTGCCTGGTGGCCAAAGGGTACGAGTGCTTCGGGCTGTTGGGGGTAAACGGGGCCGGAAAAACGACCACCTTTCGCATGATGACGGGGGACCTGAAGATGTCGCACGGCGACGCCTGGATCAACGGCAGGAGCATCCGAGGCGACCTGAAGAACGTGCGGAAGTTTATGGGGTACTGCCCGCAATTCGACGCCCTGTTGGACAACCTCACCGCCAGGGAGACCATCAAAATTTTCGCGTTGATCCGCGGCGTCCCGGACGACGAGTGCAGAGATCTCGTGGACGTTTTGGCCGGGGATTTCGATTTCAGCAGGCATTTGGACAAGAAGGTTAAACAGTTGAGTGGAGGGAACAAGAGGAAGCTGAGCACTGCTGTTTCTATTATTGGAGACCCATCTGTCATATATCTGGATGAACCAACAACAGGTATGTATATTTCTCTGAAAAAGTTTTAATAAGTAAAAATAAGAGTTTTGAAAGTTTGACAATCTCTTAAAAACTCTGAATAAAACTTATTAAGTCGGAAAAAGTCAGACCGACTTAATAAGTTTTATTCAGAGTCTTATTACGACTTCAGAATTTTTAGTAAAAAGTAAGACCTTAAAAACTTTTACTTTTACTTATTACTCTTTCAGAGAAAAATTTCCACAAGGGAATTCATTTTTAAGAGATTCGTATGTAATACGGGTTCGGGACAAAATAAAATAACGATGAGCTAAAATTATGGCACGCCATTTTAACATTTATTAAATAATTTTTTAATTTAAAATTTTATTGGTTTAAAATTTTCCTAACTAAAAATTTTAGGTTTACATTTATAAATTTAAAATCATCTATTGAAAGACAAAATTTACTAACCAACAGTTCACTTCTGTATTAAACAATATTATTTTCTATCAATTTTTCCAAAAATTTCTAACTATCATTTTTTAATAAAAATAATTTCCCAAGTATAATTTATTTCGTTGGCATGTTGTTAACTTAAATAAATATTTTATAAAATTATTGATATTAATTTGGTAAAGTTAAATTTTTTAGTATTTAAAAATAGTATCAAGCCATTTAAAATAAAAACACATATAAAACATTTTCTATCAAAATAGTTTAAAAAGTTAAATTTTTGTAAACTCAAAACTATTGATAATGAAAAAATATTTTAAATATAAAATGCAACTGTAAAAGGTTAAGTTTAAAAATATTAGTTTTTAAAAAATGGAATTTTAATATTTTATTCTTCAAAATTATTGGTTTAGAATTTGTAAAGAGTCATTTAAATGATAGTCGATAAATTTTCAATACATACATTTAAACATTACATTTAAATGTTAGTTTTAAATTTTAAAGTGGTAATTTTTGCATTAAAAATTTATCGACTGTCATTTAAAGGACTCTTTTCAAATTTAAACCAATAACTTTTATTTTTAACAATTTTAAATTAATTTCAATCAATTGATACATTTTTAAGACAAAATTTATAACTTTACATTTAAATGTATGTCGATAATTTTTAAATTACAAAGTGTAAACGTAGCTTTAGTAGAAGGCACAAGAGTCTGGGATCGGAGCCACGATGCAGCCAGTTTGATCCGCAGTGTTGCCAAATCGTGCTTGCTCCATAAATATTTGACGCGTTTTACAAATTATCGTAATGAAATGTTTCTTTATTACATAAATTTAATAATAGAACAACAACATTTTTAGTGCCTATTGTACTAAGTTAATTCGACATTTAAAAAACATCAACGGATCAAACTAGCTGCATCGTGGCTTCAATCCCAGACTCTAGTGCCTTCTACTAAAGCTAAGTTTACACTTTGTAATTTAAAAATTATCGACTTACATTTAAATGTAAAGTTATAAATTTTGTCTTAAAAATATATCACTTTAAAATTGTTAAAAATAAAAAATTTTGGTTTAAATTTGTAAATAGTCATTTAAATGATATATAGTCGATAAATTTTTAATCCAAAAATTACTAATTTAAAATTTAAAACTTACATTTAATGTAATGTGAGAATTTTTGTATTAATAATTTATCAACTATCATTTAAATGACTTTAAAAATTTAAACCAATAATTTTGTAGAATAAAATATTACAACCAAAACTTTTAAAAATCAATATTTTTAAATATAAATGTTTAATGTTGCATTTTTGACTATCAATTCTTTTGAGTTTAAAAAAATTTCTATTAAAACCTAATTTAAGTGCTAAACTTTAATCTTTAAACTTTTATCTAATAAATGCTTAAACGGCCTGCCATATAAAATGAAGACAAGCAATTGTTTTTGTTTCATTCAAGGTATGGACCCAGCTACCAAAAGATTCCTGTGGGACGCCTTATGCAAACTAAGGGACAACGGTAAACTGATAATCCTAACCTCGCACAGCATGGAGGAATGCGAGGCATTGTGCACGAGGATAGCCATAATGGTGAACGGCAATTTTAAATGCATCGGCTCCAGCCAGCATTTGAAAAACAAATTCGCCAAAGGCTATACGTTGACGATAAAAGTGAAAAAGTTGCCGGAAAGCCACGGTTTGGAACATGGGGATACTCAGCCCATAGAAGAGTTTATTAGGGACGAATTTCCTAAGGCAAAGCTGAGAGAAAGACATCAAGAGTTGTTGACGTTTTATATTACGGATACTGACATTCCTTGGTCAAAAATGTTTGGAATTTTGGAGGAGGCCAAACATAATGACACTTTGAATATTGAAGATTATTCCTTAGGACAATCTAGTTTAGAACAAGTAAGTTTTACGATATACAGTAGTGGCCATAATTAGAGCAACCACTGTAAAAAACTAACTCCAAAACGCCTTTATTAATCTTTAAGAAACTTTGGATAAAAATACTTCAACTTATATTTCAGTTTACGTGTTTGAGGGTTTTTTGAGAAAATATTTTTAAAGCCCATTTTTTTTAATATTAAAAAAACGTTTGAAAAATAACTTTTAGGGAATTTTTTTTTCAAGTAAATAAAAAATATGCTGTTAAAGACCGTATTTTTGTTAGTATACTCTAAAAATTTTGTCAATCAAATGAACAGTAACGAAGATACATCGCTTCAAAGTCGGTAAAAATGCCCCCTTTTTGATTATTTTGCTGAAAAGTGGTCATTTTTGACGACTTTGAATCGCTGTATCTTTACTGTTCATTTGATTTGTACAAAATTTTCAGAGTATACTAAAAAAAATACGGTCTTTAACAGCATATTTTTTATCTACTTGAAAAAAAAATTCCCTAAAAGTTATTTTTCGAAGGTTTTTTTTTAATTTAAAAAAAATGGGCTTTAAAAATATTTTTTCAAAAAACCCTCAAACACGTAAACTGAGATATTTTTATCCAAAATTTCTTAAAGATTACTAAAGGCGTTTTGGAGTTAGATTTTTTTTACAGTGGTTGGTCTATAGATAATTATAATTATGGCCACTACTGTACTCAAATGAAACTTTTAACCCTAGTTAAAAAATTTGAAATTTAATATTTTTTTAGGTTTTTTTAACGTTTACCAAGTACCAGCGATAGTATTATTAAAATTGTTATTCATATTTAAAATAATTATACAATTGTTTAATTTATTTTTTCTTATTTTTTTATAATATTATTTTTATAGATATGTGATTTATATGAATAAATAAATATATATTGTTAATAAAAAATATACCTCTTGTTAAGCATAAAAAGTATTTTTATTTTACTCTTAATTTAGTTACAAAATATACAGTGTGTTAAAAAAATGTTAGAACATCAACCTTGGACATTATAGTTAAAACATTAAAGACCATCCTAGGAACAAATTTGTTAACTTACTTTGGCTGACAGGAATAAAAAATAAAACACCTAAAATTTTTCACAAAACAGTTTTATTTATCTTCAAAAAAACATTGGACAAAAAATGCATTTGCATCACAGTATTTAAATAGAAATATCTTGATCAAGCCTTAAAATATTTAGATCAAACAATTTTACATTTTTTATTTAAAATTTTAAAATAATGTATGTTTTAATATTTCCCATAAAAATGATAATAATACAAAAGGTAAAAAAGTATTAATTCACCAAATGCGACCTCTGGATTAGCATGACAAATTTGTATTTTTCATCTTTGAGTTTGATACATTTGTTTTCCAATTATTACAAATTTTTAAAAATTACATTTGTTAGCAATTGTGAATAATTCGTTGCTGACTGTTACATAACCAAGGCGGTTGGTGTTTACTGTTTATATTTTAAATATTTACTCTGGCAGAATTGCTCTGTTCCTTCATCACTTCTGGATGTATGCACATTTGCTTCCTTGATCCTATAATGCAAGCCTTCATGTGCTTGTATGCACTCCGTTTAAGTTCATTAATTGCCTACTATAACTGTGTATGCATTCTCGAAGTGTATATGATGGTCAGTAAGCCCATGAAGGCCAGTAAGCTTTGTCTGCGTTATTTACCGTCCCTTTATCCACTTTTCCAGTCAGTTCTTTTAGCAGATTCCCCATGAACCTGCTTCTTCTCTTCCACAATGCTGTTCATTCTCTGTATATTTGTTTTATGTCTGTAACTCGTACGGTTCGAAGGGGAATTCCACGGCAACGCCCCGTATATTTATCGTGCTCGTCCCGAAAATTCTCATTTGTTTTCTAAGAAAAATTCTTTCGCTTTATTCGCCAAAAAAGTACTCTTATAACATTGCGAAATCTGTTTGTTTTTCTTTGAGGTTATGTTTTTTTACCTGTATCTTAGGCAATGAAATACCATTGCCGTAACAGGAGTTGCATACCTTACAGTATTGTGCTAGCTTTTATTGTATTTTATAACAATTTAAAGAGATAAATTTCTTTAAATATTGAAAAATCCCTCAAATGGACTTGCATTTTATAAATATAGACCATTTTTTGTTTTTAGCCCCACTCAAATTTGCGTTGTAACAGTGTTTACATAAAAAACGAACATTTGTTTTACAATAATAATTATTATTGTTTGTATACGTCAGTAACAGTGTAAAGACAATATAAAATATTTCGTGTGGGTAATTGTCGCATAAAACTGCAATCGATAAAATAATATTAAAATAATATAACACTATAAAGTTTCAGCAGCATTTTTTTGTAGGTATAATCGTGTCATCTTTGACAGCCACCGCGCATGCCCGGCGGGCGATTCGCTTTTGTCACTTTGGCAGCCATAATTGCAAAACAACCGGTAATTTGACATGCTAGGCGTCCTTTTGATAAAATGAGTATATTATTGCAGTTTTTTGTGTTTCGGTGCGATATTTTAGTGCGTGAGTGACCTTTTTTTTGTCTGGAGATGCAATAACAACGATGGTGACAGGGAAAGGGCTTTAAAGGTAAAAATTGTGATTTTGCTTGTTTGAGTTGTTTTTTAATGTTTTTTATTTGTTACAGTGTAAAGACAATATAAAACAAAATATTTCGTGTACCTAGGTAATTGTCGTATAAAACTGCAATCGATAAAATAATATTAAAGTAATATAACATTATAAGGTCCAAGTTTCAGAAGCATTTGTTTCGTGTCATCTTTGACAGAGCCACCACGCTAGCCCGGGCGATTCGCTTTTGTCACTTTGGCAGCCATAATTGCAAAACGATCGGCAAAGTGCTTGGCTTGGCGTCCTTTGGATAAAAATGCAGATATTATTGACTTTTGTGAGTTTCGATGCGATATTTTAGTGCGTGAGTGATCTTTTTTTGTCTGGAGATGCAATAACAACGATGGTGACAGGGAAAGGGCCTTAAAGGTAAAAATTGTGATTTTGCTTGTTTGAGTTGTTTTTTAATGTTTTTTTCATTGTTACAGGTAGGTCCAGTACGGGACTGATTAACTAGGCAATCAGCAACAAAGTAGTAAGTGATTTTTAAATATTTTTTAGTAATGAGAATTTTTAAGTGATTTTATGTTTTAATAGGTACATAGGTACAGGGTGATCCCCTATAATGTCGCCCCCTTTAACTTTTTTATTTTATGGGTCCCAAAAAATTTAAAAGTGTGGTTATGTAGGTACTAAAAAATACTTTTTGTCTACGTATAAAGAAAATTGGAAAATTGATCAGTATACAGGGAAAAACAAAAAGTTTATTTTTTTTCAATGGATCACCCTATATATGTATTTATGTTTCGATTCCTTGTAAAATTCTAAGCATATTTCATATAACATACCATATACCTAAATTTAACCGTTTCTGAAATATTTAAATTATTTTTAATATAATAAGTTGAAATAGGTAGTTTGTCTTTCTCTGTCTGAGTACGTCATTTTTACTTATTTAACAAGACATATTGACATAATGTCACTATAGTAATTTATTTTCAATAAAAATTTTGGTATACTGAGGCTTCTTGATTTGACAGTTTAAAAAAAACATTGAATGATAACATTTCGAATGCGAATATTTCAGAAACAGTTGAATTTAGGTATATGGTTTGTTATATGAATTATGCTCAGAATTTTACAAGGAATCGAAAAATAAATTTATATATAGGGTGATCCATTGAAACAAAATTAACTTTTTGTTTTTCCCTGTATAATGATAAATTTTCCAATTTTCTTTATAGGTAGAAAAAAAGTATTTTTTAGTTCCTACATAACCAAACTTTTAAATTTTTGGGGAAACTTAAAATAAAAAGTTAAAGGGGGGCGACATTATAGGGGATCACCCTGTACACTCAGATAAAGAAAATCTTAATTTAAGTATTTACAGATTGTCAACATACCATTTTTTATTACCTCAAAAATTTAATAGCTTTGTAAAAATTTGAGTAGCTAATTAATACATACTTAAGTAATGCTCCAAACAGCAAAGTCCCACCACGTGAGAAATGTTCTTTTTAAAGTGTCGTTGACAGATTTTTTGTAAAATTCTTTTTTTTTTAAGTTAGGTACGGGGTTTTTATAAATTAATCCCGGAGCACCCGCCATTTTGTGCAAAAAACATTTTTGAAAATTTTAAAATTGCCAATTTGACTCTGTAGTCGGTGCTCAGGTTAAAAATTAATTTTAAAATCTAAAACCTTGGGAGTACTTTCAGAAGTGTAAGAAATGTATGCCATAACTTTCAAAAATGTTGTTTTTGCAAAAATTGGCGGATGCGCCGGGTTTAATTTATAAAAACCCCGTAACTTTTTAAAAAAGTATTGTACGAAAAATCTGCCAAATTCACTTTAAGAAGATCATTTTTATTGATATATTCCTCAACTCTTATAAAACTCTTATTAAAATTGTGGATGACACAATTTTTAATGTAAAAAATTAACAATTATTATTTTAAAAACGTATATTTTTTACAATTTTGCTTTAATCTTATTGAAATTTTCAGCGAATGCTTTTCAAAATACGAATATGTATTTAATTTAATTGGTATGCTAAAATTTTTTAAAATGTTGGTTTCAAAAAAATGGCGGATGCGCCGGGAGTAATTTATAATTTTAAACCAAAAATTAATTTTTACCATAAAAAATCGTATCATCCACAATTTTAATAAGTTTTTTTATAAAAGTTGAGGGAAATATCAAGAAAAATGATCTTTTTAAAGTGACGTTGGCATATTAATATAAACTAATACCGGCGCTTCCGCCATTTTTGCAAAACACAACATTTTTGGAAATTTTGGTATATATATACTTCTTACCTTTTTGACTAATCTAAAGGTACTCCCAAAGTTTCAGATTTTTAATCTAATTTTTAACCTATTAAAAATCAAAAATACCATAAAAAGGTGTGGAAAATCATATTTGATCTACTCCCATGGCATAATTTGTTTTTTTTTCGTGAATATTCGTGTTGTTAGGCATTAGTGATTGGCCGATTTTAATATTCTCTGTGATTTGAACCAATCGGGTTTTAAATTGAAAGAAGGTGACTATAATAACATTTAAAATTGGTAAAAAGGAAGTTTAACCATTTGACAAATGTCAGATTTTATTTATTTAATTTTTAAAATCATTTAATTATCTACTTATTGGAGTAGATAAAGTATAGTATTACACTCTACATTATTATGCGCATTATCTCTCTAGTATAATAATATACTATTTTTTTGCAGAAAACGATAGCATTGGGTTTCCTCTACCACTCTAAATTATATTTAGATTTGTAGCACATCACAAACTTAACTTTTTCGGTATTTTTTATGTTAAAAATTAAAATAAGTTTTTTAAATCCCTATATTTTTCACAATTTTACTTTAATCCTAATAAAATTTTTAGGGTATACTTTTCAAAATACGAATATTTAATTAATTTAATTGGTATACTAAAAAATTTAAAAATGTTATTTTTTAAAAAAATTTACGAAAAATCTGTTAACGTCACTTTTAAAAGAGCATTTTTCTTGATATATCCCTAAATTTTTATAAAACTCTCATTAAAACTGTGGATGATACTATTTTTTATGTAAAAAATTAAAAATTTATTTTCCACAAATTTGAAATTGTCAGGGAATACATTTCAAAATACAAATTTGTATTTAATTGGTATTTTAAAATTTTTAAAAATGTTGTTTTCGCAAAAATGGCGGAGGTGCCGGGATTAATTTATAACGTAACTTTTAAAAAGGATTTTAAGAAAAATCTGTTTAGCTCACTTTAAAAAGAAATATCCCTCAATTTTTATAAATCTCTCATTAAAATTGTATATGAAAAAAATTAATTTTTTAAAAACGTAT